TTGGCAGTCACTCTGCAGAATTCCATGAATGTAGTATTTATGTAGATATTTAACAGGAATCAGTTTGAGACAAATAAACTCTGAAATATGTTGTAAAACTAATGTGGAAGTCTAATGGCATATCGGAGTCCTTGAGATTGTTTTGTTATTTTGCTTATTTACGTTCGGATGGAATATGGCTAGTGCTCATAGTTCCTAGATTTCATAATTAGGGTTTTACAGTTATGTAACCTTATTTTAAAGGTTTTATTATTTTTGTCAGTTTTTATTAGAAACACCAATTATAAAAATTTGTGAAATTTGTAGAAAGTGTTTGGTTTTGCCTATCCTTGTGGGAAAGCACTCAGTCAGTTATTTTAGCAAGCAGTAAGTAAAAAGATAGTTGGGTTAATTGATGTTTCATTTAATTAGAATTTTATATTAAGACATAAAATTGCATAATTAATTTGCACTTAAAAAAGTGCCCTACAGCCTCTACAATCATGGAATCATAACTTGAGAATTACTGTTCATCTGTCAGTGACTTATCATAATTAACTGCCTTCTCAGCCTAGAGTATGAAAGGAGCCATAGTCAAAATACTTACATTTTAATATGTTGCATAATGTTATCTCATCAATGCTAGTTTTAGGAAAGGGCATGTCACATTTTAATGTGGGATATGTTTTTATTTCTAGATTGAGTACAGGTTAGAGGGAAATGTTCAGAGTTTGCTGTATTTGTCAGTTCTTTCAGTCAGTCATTGTAACATAGCAAGCAATTAAACATGGAATTCACTTCTGGATTTAAGATGTCATGATTCTGTTTTGTTTAACAACACCAAAGCCTGGAAAACTAGGAGGAGGAAATCTCAGAAACACTAAACAGTGATTCGTTAGCTGTAAGGAGTGATTTCTTCTGGATGTTGTAAAACTGGAAGAAAGTTTTGACTTTATTATAATTTCACTATTCCTTTTTAAATGTAGTTTCCAAGCATCTAGCACTTTTTCAGTGAAATATTGCACACGGGATATCATGTGGTGTTTTTGTCTTCTGAAGTTTGAGTTTTATGATTTAAAGTGTACTTTGGTCACTTAAGCAAGAGTGATATTTTATGCAATTTTCTATGGGAAAACAACTTTGCAGCAATTATTTTTTGTAACGCAAGAGAGTTCTCTGACATAATTTGAATAGTTTACATATAGTAATAGTAATATAATAGTTACTTTAAAGGTAAAAGATCCTGCTTATTTTTGGGAAAAGGGTTTTATATATATTATGATTTTAATAAGTCGTAGCTACATTTGTTACAATGTGAATGTGCCATTAAGATTTCTACACCATTCAAATTTAAGTAGTGCTCCAACAGTGGTATTGGTTAAGGATATTATTATATACTATGCTGAGAAAAGCACATCTGTAAGACTGCTGTGTCTTGGTTATTAGTGCCAGGATTTGGGCTATCTTTAATCTCATTTGACTTGTTCATCTTCCTTAAGGATCTCCATAAAGATGCCTGAGTATTCTTTTCACCCCTTAGTTAGGGTTTGCCTCAGTGGTCGTAAACCTGCTTAAGGGACAAAGACTCTTTTTTTCCTTTGAAGTCATTTCCACAGCTTTTCAAAGGGGTCTAGAAGTTGGTTCCCCTAAAACAATTTAGAAAAGTTTGAAGAGGTGCCCCTTAAACCAATGACAAAATAAAATTTTCTCTGCATTATTGAAAACCATGACAATCTTCTGAAGCAGTAACAGTTTAAAAGCTTTTAAAGAAATCTGTTCTGCTCAACAATCAGCTTTTAAGTGACCCCATTATTTGGGAAATCAGTGTCTTAAAAACCCCTAAATATTTAACATTTTTATCAAAGGAGCCAGCCTGACTTTATACAGGATACTTGTTTTTCAGTAGTGAGAGAAATAGCCTAACTGGAGGTTTCTTTGTAAATTTACTTTTCTGATTGTTGCTCTCTTTTTTTAATTGATGTGCGATTATTTAATACTAAAGCCATTTGGTAAACAGTTGGATGAATGGATTTGCGAGACACTGTTTATAATCTAGGTAACATGGGTTTATATTCTAGTTTATATAATATATTAATATAATATTACTAAATGAAAAGCAACATAAGTATTATAGATAGAATTTTTACTATGTACTATGATAAACATGTATCATCAGTCCATGTTGTGTTGTAGGAGAAACCTAACTCCTAGATACTATTGGGATAGGTACTGTAGACATGCATAACATTTAATCCACAGAGACAACAATAACACTACTACCACAAGCATTTAAAGTAAACATCTTGTGGCAGTTGAGTTTTTGCTTCTATCCTCTAATAACTGCATTTAAAACAGTTCCTTAAATGTCCTTTTAAACTCAAACAGCGTAAACCCATTAACACCGAGTCGGTGCTGCTCATTTCAAACTCTCATGATTTCAATGTTTAAACTATTGTTTTATGAAAATATTTAATAACTTAATTAAAGTAAGTTTTTGATTATGTGTGCAGATTTGTGTTAAATGCAAGTTCTGAAGACAGTAGTAAATAATAACTATTATTGACTATTTAATGTTGCTAATGTGTGCATCTCAATTAAAAAATACCGCAAACCAGGAACTGTGCAAAACTGCCTTACATTTCATTTGGGGACAATAGGACAGAGTCGGGTATCTAAAAAGTACAATTTGATACTGGGTAATGAGGCTGTTACGTAGATTCCAGTGTAACCATTAACGTTTATAGAACTTTTTTCAATCTATTTGTGCAAAGTTATGGATTGTCTTCATTGTTTCCATTCACTTTTAAAAGTGCTTGTTCCATGTTTAGGTGAGGAAAGTTCAATATAGCCATCTTTCTGTGAAATAATCAGCTGAGAAGTACCTACTGATCATAAGTCTATCCCTTATGCTTTTAATTTTTTTTCTGAACTGTCTGCCATGCTTCCTGAATTTGAGTGTATTTTGCCAAACTCCATATGAAACAAAAGCTGTAGCATTTCATGGTTATGTATTTGGGGATTAGGGATCACTTACTAAGCTGCTCCAAAGTGTGTGTATATATGTGCGTGTATATGTGTGTGTATATATATGTATATGTGTGTGTATATATATATATATGTGTGTGTATATATATATATATGTGTGTGTATATATATATATATATATGAGAATGATATTGTCCTGATTTATTAAGAAGAAATACTGTTTACTTTGCAAAATTTGTATGTTACAATAATATAAATTATGTATTGTAGCAGTAATTGCAGAATAAATCATATTTTGAAAGGTCATAATCCCTGGTTTAATACGGGATCATGGATTATGACCTTTTTAAAAAGACCATTTGAACATGACAGCTACATGGACATTTTGGGAATTGTTGCAAATGGTCAGAGTTAAAACGCACACTGGTGAGAGTAAGTTACGTCTTTTTAACTTTATTTTCACATGTCCAGTCCTGCATCCATGCTGCACACAGAAAACTCATTGTGCCGGTGAAAACATTCTTTGTTTGCAGGGTCTGTTTTAACAATCTGAGTGTCTTATTAGAAGTTATGCAGACACTACTTTGGAGAGTGCAGTATAAATGAATGGACACATTAATAAGATTGTGCTTATTAATATTTGGTTTTAAAAAAAATTCTACTTCAAAACTTTTTGAATCATGCTATCTAAACAACAAATGTGCTGCTTTATCCTTGCTGGAATCACTTGACACTATTACTTCTTTCCGTGTCTTTGCAAATCCATATACTATTTTTTAAAATCAAAATAACATTTGATTTTTACCACCATCTTTCTCTATAGCCCTAAAAAACCAACAAGGATCTGGTGGCACCTTAAAGACTAACAGATTTATTTGGGCATAAGCTTTTGTGGGTAAAAAAACCTCACTTCTTCAGATGTCCCTGAAGAAGAGAGGTTTTTTTACCCACGAAAGCTTATGCCCAAATAAATCTGTTAGTCTTTAAGGTGCCACCAGACTTCTTGTTGTTTTTATGGATACAGACTAACACGGCTACGCCCGATACTTGACTCTATAGCTCTGGCATTCCACAGAAAAAAAGTCATCATTTAAAGTAAAAATATTTTCTGCTTAAAAAAGCTTATTTGTAGTTCTCTTTTATTAAGCTGTGATAACCTCATTGGAAACATATTACTTAAAACTTTAACGATTTTTACTCTTCATAAAAGGCTTCCAATTGAAATAATTAGACAGTAATTACAAAAATAACATTGTGCTTTTCATGGACTACTGGCATTCTGGGAGAGTGAGCCAGTGAAAATACACGAGATGAGGTCTGAAGTATTTTTAAAGAAGTTTATGATAACACATGCATACACTATTCTCAAAGATCAGACACAGAAAATGTTAATTACCCATATTTGTCATGACAAAAGGTTTAAGTCTGAACAGTTCATAACAATATGTCAGCTTACAATTTTCCTCAATTGACAACATCCCTAAATGTTTGATTTGATCTCTAAAGACAGATTCTGGAAAAAATAATTGCTTTGGACAAAGCACCAACTGGCTATGAGGAACTAAGTTAAGCCTCATAGTTGTGATTTCAGTACTGGAAATAGATTAAAGTGAAATCAGTCAGTGGACTCCTTCCTTCAACTTGGACATCATAAATGTTTCCTCTTGTTACTTATCATAGCGACACACTTATTTACAGAATATTTATTGGCGTGGTGCTCTTTGTCCACTGAGGGGTAGTAGAATCCTTTATGTTCAAATTAGTTGTTGTCTATATAGAGTTTTGTTGTGTGTATCTTCATTAGTAAATGGCCAGGCTGAATTTCTGAAAGGCAGTGCTACTAGTGTACTGTTTATCAGCAGTATGGAAGAAGTCATTCTCAAGTGTAACAGAAAAAGTATAGTCCATACCATGAGTATCTGTTCTTGAAAGTGTAAACTCCAAGGGTAAAGAAAATAAATATGTGAATTACTGTAAACACTGCTTTTAGAGATGATTCATAACTGAGGATTCCTTTTTTTCTTGTTTCCTTGAAGGTGATTTTGCCACTCCCCGAGCTGTCTTGACAGGACATGACTATGAGATTGTTTGTGCTACAGTTTGTGCTGAACTTGGTCTGGTAATAAGTGGTGCTAAAGGTAAAAGGGTTTCTGTTATCTTTTTAAAACTATATTTTGTCATAAAGTTATTGTCCTAGTTTAAAGATGAATACAGTCTAGGATGATGGAGATCATTTTAATTATGTATGATTAATATAAAAAAACCTTGTTTTAAATGGCACAGGTTTCCCTTTTAAGTCAATTTGAAAAACCTCTTTTGACCATAACACATTAAAATTGAAGCCCATTCATGTGTATCTATAGAAGTCCAGCATAGACAGCTTCCCCATGTTGGTCTTCCAGTTATCTTGTTTTTGTTTATTCAGACTAACTACCTTTAGTTGTTCGACAATACAGAGAAAACTATCCTCTATGTATTCCTGGCTCTCTGCTGAGACTATCAAAAATGCAATGCAATTATGTGCTTTGTTTTTGTTGTGGATAACTCCCCAGTGGCAACAGCAATGATTGTTGTTGTTGTTGTTGTTTAAAGATATATTTGCATTCCCAACTAAAATTTGCAGTGGTTAGGGTCAGCTTCTCTGAGCTCATCTACAAGGACCCTATTTTAAATCTTTCTTAAAGACCCATTTCTGCTGTGCTGCTTACAATGAATTATGTTCACTTGTACATAAATTGCTTGTAGTTGTCCCCCTTCCCTACCTTTGTCTATTTATCTGTCCTCCTTGGGAGCTCCTTGGAACAGAGACCTTCCTTCTTCAGTGTTTCAAAAGTTCCTATTATAGGCTGCATTTTCAAAGTCTGGCACTCAAAACTGCACACACTTTTTACACAAGGGGAATATCTGATGTGTGTATACTAATAAAGTTTTTGTCCATGTTCATTACCAATGAAGAATGTAGCTAGTCGTATATGGGTACACATCTGATTTGTGAATGCATATCAGGAATTTGTGCACCTAAATTAGGTGCTGCAATTGTAAGCATGTAAATAAGTGAATCTTACTGTGAAAATCTAAAGAGACTGGCGCAGCCACGCTGCTGTAAACTCTCTAGTGGAGCTGCTCTAAACTGACAGGAAAGAGCTCTCCCTTTGACTTAATTAAGCCACCCCCAATGAGTGGTGGCAGCTATGTCAGTGGGAGAAGCTCTGTCCATGTAACACTGTCCACACCAGCGCTTAGGTTATGACATAAGTGGTAGTGTGGACATTGCCTTAAAGTAGGTGATTGCTTTAGTTACCCTAATGCAACTCTAGACTTTTAGGAGATGAGACTACGAATGTGAAGAACTTTAGTATTACAAGGTTGTACCTTAAATTTTCCATTTATAACACATTTTGAGTTAATTCAATAAAAGCCATTACTCATTGTCTTTGGATGGATTCGATATGGAAATAACCAGTGCTTTTAATTTTGTTTCATCAGAAGGGCCATGTCTCATACATTCTATGAATGGAGACCTATTGAGGACATTGGAAGGTCCTGAAAACTGCTTGAGACCAAAACTTATCCAGGCTTCAAGAGAGGGCCACTGTATCATATACTATGAAAATGGCCTTTTCTGTGTATTCAGCGTGAATGGGAAACTTCAGGCCACTATGGAAACAGATGACAAAATAAGGGTAAGTGTGCAGAAATATATTGTAAGGGTTGCATATGTCAATATTTAAAATAAACTTAGGAGAATTCTGAGATTTTGGAATTGCTCAGGGTTTCTTTCCATGCAAATGGTGAATGAAATCTGTGCAATTTCACTAATGACATTTAAATTTAGAAGGGCTCCAAGAAATATGAGGGATCAGTTGGGGGCTCAGACATTGCTCATGGAATCATGTTTAACTTTACAGTGGCTCTGCCTAGGTAGCCAGCAATATATTGTGGGTTTTTTCCCTCTGAATAAAAGGACATACAAATAATACCTGGTGTGCGCACACAGGAGAATTCAGTATATTACATTTTTGTCAGCCTCTAAAGAGTCAAGATGACCAGTCACTCCAGCGGCAGGAGGGCTGTTGTGTGTTATTAGCCCTGTCCATATTCCTGCATCTCAGTTGAGATATTATTCAAAGGCTGAGTTTCAGGAAGGCTTTTTGCTAATATGCAAAATCGGTTCAAAAATGTTCATAAAATGTGATATGGACAGAACAAAATTTGGCAGCTGTCATAGAGCTAAGCCAAAACAAGAAAAAGGGAAAACATTTTCAATTTAACTACTTAAAAAGAGAGAACAAATTAAGTAGAAAGTTAAAAGATGAAGCAGAACACTGCTGCCTTAGTTAAATTCAAAATATAGTGGGGGTTTTGTATTAAAAGAAAAATGGGAGTGGAGGCAATGCTTAATAAAATAACTTTATGGACTTATTTTAGTGTCAATATAAATATTTTCCTGCAGTTCTAAAATCCAAACACAGCAGCATTATGCTAATACATGAGAACCAGAAAGTGGTTCTCATCTCCCTCCCTAAAATACTCTTCTTCCAAAAGGCCTAAAACCTTGCAACAGCCATCAAAGAACTGTAAACAAAAGAGCTGAAATAAAAAAAAACAAAACAAAAAAACCCACCGCTGAACAAAACTTGAAGAGCTAGCAAGACAGGTGTTAATTTGCACTGCTCAATCACGCAACCCATCCTACTATTTAGATTACAAACTCTTTAAAGGAGGAGGAGCCATGTCTTCTTTCTTGTTTGTAGAGCAGTTGGCAGCACTACAATAAGTGAAATTGACCTCGATATAACTGCCCATTGTAGTTTAATTTTCCAAACTGAATGCAATGGAAAAAAGTAACAACCTAAACGGTGAAGAGTTGATTACCAAAATCTGTGGATAATAAAATAATAACAACAATTCTGAAGTGTTGTTAATGCAGGCAAGGATATTTTTAAAAAAACATTATTTTTAGCTGTGCACCGTCCCTTTTCCTTACAAGGTCTGATCACGTGACTTGTGCAATATTTATGATATCCTTCCTGAGCTCTTCTTACCCTCACACACCTGTCCTACAGTCTTACAAGAATTCTTTACCTGTGTTTTTCATCCAACTGTGAGCAGTCTTAAATTTGCACCCCTTGTCCTCACCTGACTCCCACAGATACATAATTTTGTTAAGACTTGTGTTGCAAAAGAGAGAAAAATCAAGGAAATTAGCTTCCAAACAGGTAAAAAATATTGAAATATATTTTAAAAGAATGTTACTAGCCTTAACACTTTCCATGAAGGAACTAGCATTTTATGATTTCATATGCAGCTGGTACAAAATGTTTTAATGTTAACACTGGAGCTCCCAATACACACACTTAAATGCTTCAGCTATGCCTTTCTCCTTTTTCTACAAGTTGACATTAAATTCTCTTAATCCACTATCCTCATTTTCTTGAAATGTTGGACATATAGGTTGTTGAGTATGCAATTTAAAAAGGCTATATTATTCGATGTGTTTTCCATAGCCGGTGTCGTTCTGCAGTGGATTAGTAGTCACAAAGTGCTGAATTACACACATTTATTACTTAATACACTGTAAATGCAGATTTGTTTGAGTTAGGGGATATGTCATGATAATTTGCATGCCCCGTCCCAGGCTTTTTTCCAAATTGATATAGATTCTTGCTTCATTTTTAGTCGTTCTTCAATTCACTGAAGTTTCACCTTTTGCTGTCCTTGCACGCATGCTTGTGAGTTTCCCACCCTAGCCTCTACCCTAATATTTCATTTAAAGCAAGTACACACCAGAGTGTTTTCTTTTGCTTTTCTTTTTACAATAATAATGTTGATAATATGTCACTTTCAGTTGTGATTATATTGTCAACTAGGCTAGTAAATCTGTAAAATATCTAGAAATCCCTTGCTGGGTAAAACAATTTCTGTAGTGTTTCAGTCAGTACCCACGTCTTGGAGAATGTTGCTTGAGGCAGTGAATGTTCTGCTCTCTATAGGCCACTGGTACACACTGTTTTTTCCCCAGCAGTCTCACGAGGATTTTAGGTTTAAATAATCCACAACCTTCTTCCCAGGGCTTCTGCACTTTATCATACTAGAAGGCAAGTGGCAACTGTGTGATTAAAGTAGGACCATTTAAAATGAGTAGGACCTGCCCACAGGCTATGGAGACTGACGATATTACTATTTGTTGCTGGGAGAAAATGGAGAAATAGTGGGTCAGAAATGCAGTTGCTTATGTAAAGTAAAATTCTGATGTGTTTTCCCGTGTCATTGTGGGCCTAGACTGCAAGATGTAGTTGATGAAAATAACAGTTTACAGTTACATTCAGAACAGAATTCTACAACTACCAGAAAAATTTAACTGTCTGGGGAAACTCAGGGTATATCACTTTCCACCGTTTTTTGTTTAAAATACTGCTTCATGGAGCTTAGACTAACAGCATATCCCAGCACATCTACCGTGTAATGTTTAATTGTCTTAATGAATAATTTAAATCTAAGTGGGCAACCAGTTCAGAGAAGTAAAATTATTTTATCCTAAACAAAGACAGTACACTCATTCACCCAAAGGAACCAATTTATTTTCCTTTCCTGAGTCCTGAAATGTGGAAGTGCCCAACAGCCTCTTGCTGCCGTAAGCCAGTGCTGTCATGGTGACAGCTCTGCTTTTTAAGAAGCACTGCCTTTCAAGAATCTGAGAGGTTAAAGGGTTTGCACAAACTTTTGAGACTTTTCAAGGAAGTACAAGTCAGAAATGAAGCTTTTAGAACGTTGCTTGAATTGAGTGCTATGGGGATTTGTTTGCATGTCTGAATCTTATGTTGTGAGAAAGATTAGATGGCAGAACTGCTTGAGCTTATTCTTATTAGAATCCTGGATAACTTTCACTGGGAGAAAAACTGAACAGTAAAATTGATTCATGCCTTCCCCATAATAGTTGGAGTACTTGAGAGTAAATGCATCCTTTAGTTTGTTAACTCCTATGGGGCATGTCATTAAACTGAAATTTTGACAGGGTGACCTTTGTCATATATATATCAACTACTTGTCTTCTTGAAAAGCAGGTGACTTAGGAAAATGACATAGATATTGGCAAAACCTCAAAGACTGTTCTTTATTTAATCAAGAGATCACAGAAATCACTGAAATTTGCAGGTAGTGGAAGAGTTAAAGATTAATGGCTTTAATTTGCCTTGTAATATAGCATTTCTCCAGTAAAAAGCCTCAAGTATAAAACACAAGTGAACCATGACCATAAGGTTAATGGATTTTCATCAGCTGAATTTTATAAGTGTAGCAAATAATTATTTGTCATGCCTTCATTGCAATTTCAAAATACCCTCAGGAGAGTGCCATTTGTGGAATGAAAAAAATGGATATTGATTTTACTTCTAATGAATAATCTTTTTAATAATTTTATTTGGTTTGCTAGAGCTCATGATGAGCTATCTTGGTATATGCAATTTTCTTTTCTACAGATTTTATTATCTTACCTCATTCTTCCCTCCATCCCTAGCTTATTGCCTTGTTGCACCCTGGGTATATTGTGCGTAATTTAGAATCTAAGCTCCTTGGGCAGCAAACATGTCTTCTTTCTGGTTTGGGAGGTGCGTCACACACCTTTGTGTTCTGAGGGAAATAAGAAATGAGACAAATAATAATTGATAGTTGGAACATTTATACCATTCAGAACAAGTTTCAATTCAGAATGTTTGAGCATTTAATTATGCCATATTTATATATGTCTTGGAAATGATTTACCGTGCCCACTACCTTTTTAAAGCGTTAGGTACATTTGTCACAATCCTAGTTCAAAATACAGTTGCCAGGAATGGGTTGATCACCAATTCCTTCATTGCTTGTAAATACAAAATGTTATTGATTATCTTAAAGCATTAGTCCTGAAACTATTTTGTTAAATAAAATGTTAAACAAAAGGGTTTGTTCCCATAACAACAAGTCATCATAATAAACACTCAGAACTAAGGTTATGAAAAGTTAGTTACTTTATAAGAACTCTAACTCAGCCCTGCTGCACTTCCTGACCTTTTTAGAGAGTATTTTTAGCATCATCATAACAGTAATAAGGCACAAAAATGGATAATAATCCATATATTCAATATGGTTGACTAATTATTACTGTGAAGACCATAATACTTTACTTTCTACACTTGTCAGTGTTCAACATAACCACTTTAATGTTGCCTTCATGGTATATTTAGTATTTTAATTTTAATTCCCCCCGTTTTTGTGAGCAGGTGCTGCATATGTTAAAAATTCTGCAAATTAGGAGCACCTCAGAAACATAGATGATAGTGCACAATACTTGTGATTGCCACAAGATCTTAAAGGCACCATAGCATAAAGCTTTCTGTGTAATAGTTTTTGAAAACTCTCATGTGAGTGAAGACCTCACCCATAGTTTTCTATGTTGAAAACTGTGGATGAAATCTTTAAGTGCAAAAGAAACTATTTCTGTTTTCAAAACTGTTTATAAAGAAAATTTTCTAAGATATTGTGATGGAATTGTAGAACTAAACAATAAAGTTATATTATGCATAGTTGTTGTAGCTATGTTGGTCCCAGGATATTAGAGACACAAGATGGGTGAGATAATGTCTTTTATTGGACCAACTTCTGTTGCTGAAAGAGATAAGCTCTCGAGATTACACAGACTTGAAGGAGAGCTCTGTGTAAACTGGAAAGCTTGTATCTTTCACCAACAGAAGTTGTTCAAATAAAAGATATTGCCTCACCCACCTTGAATTATGCATACACATTTTAAAATAGTTAGGACTTCATTGTTATAAGCAGTTGCCTAATATTTTTCATTATAAGACTGTTTTCATTTACTTATAACTTTGCCTCACTGTAACCCTTTGGCTGACATTTCCAATGCTGGGTGTCAGCTTCAGGCTGACTTTTTTTTTAAAAGTTGCATTTAAAATGATTCAGCTAACTAGAACGCAGAGGAGCAGGGAGGGGATTACACAAGCCGGGGAAAAGCAGAGGGGAAGGGGGACAGATCTAAGGTCAGAGGTGCAGCAATTAGCGATAAAGATCTGTGCTTTAGATCCAAAGGTCCCAAACTTGCTAATGTCCTACCAGTGTGGGGGTCACTATGGAGCCACATGATACAATTACTGATTTTTTTCACTTTGCTTTTTAAAAAAGGTAGGAAATTATATTAACCCATCTCTCCCCCCTATATTAAAGAACATTAAGGCTGCCAAGTCAACACTCAAGTTTAGGAAATTCCACAATTAAAGATGCCTGTGCACAAACAACCTTCATTCTGTCAATTCCTAATGTTTGAATGCTTCATTTTGCAAACTAAATGTTCTTTTAATGTATTTTTATATGTAATATCAATATAAATACTCTGTTATATAAATATGAGTTTGGGATGGCCTATTTCTGACAAGTAGTGAAAGTATGAGTGAATTCCCCAGTTCATCCCAAACGGGGGCCAACCTTTAGAGCACAATATCATTTATTCTGTGTCTGACACATTAGCTAAACATACCTTTTTAGAAGTATTAAAAGAGTATTCAAAAAATTCATTTCATTCAGACTATTTTTTGTATCCCTCCAGTTATAAAGCCAGGCAACTTAGTTCTATGTGTCCAACTGTTGTAATTGACTTTTTTGCTTCTCAAAAGCTGTATCTACTGATATGAAGTATCTTCAGAGATAAAGCTGTGATGGTGCAGAGGGGGTGTTCTGGAGGTGAGAGGGTGGAATAAAAGCAATGCAAGTTGTTTTAACAGAAATATTAATGCAATTTCCCTTTAGGCAATCCAGCTGAGCCGTGATGGACAGTACCTGCTTACAGGCGGAGACAATGGGGTCATCATGGTATGGCAAGTGTGTGACCTCAAGCAGCTTTTTGCTTACCCAGGCTGTGATGCTGGAATCCGTTCCATGGCCCTGTCATATGACCAAAGGTGAGATTAAAGTTTGGGGGTCAGAAGTATTTCATAGAATGTACTATTATAAAGAAACAGCAAAAGGGACATCATTATGGTGTAAACAATTTTTTTCCTTTCAATATTGTATTTACTTTGATCTCAGGTGCCAATGACAATATGGAGAATTCTGTGCACTGTTTTAGTGTTGAAAGGTCATGGTTTAGGTCTGATAATCTTTTAAAGAGTTGCAGCTCTTAGTGGGTTAATTAACACTCATTCCAGGAAATCTCACTCTGACAAACTTTTAATATGTACTGTTTTTTTCTTTCCTCAAAGGAAAAAAATATTCCTAACTATAGGTCTTCAAAGCCATTAACAAAAAGAAAATAGACACTCACTAAGATTCCCATCAATCTTTTACATTTTGTTTTCTCTTATAAAGGATAAAACAGTAAACATATTTACTAGTGCCTATATTACACCTGCCAATGCGACTATGGTTAAAGGTCTTTGTGCATTTTTGGCACATAACTCTGTCCAGTTTATAACTTGGATGTTTATAGTTGCATCCAGCTTGTCTTTAGCTTACAGACTACTACCTAGACTTTTGTTTACCCCAGATAAAATTACAAAAGCATCTAAGTCACTAAATCTTATTGAAAGTCATTTAGGATCCAAAGCACTTTTAAAATGGGACTCAGCCCTGGCTACACCTAAAACACAGGTTGACCTAGGTACATTGAGACAGGCTATGAAAAATTTCGCACCTTGTGTAACATAGTTAGGTTGACCCAATCTTCACTGTAGATGAAGGTAGGTTGAAGGAAGCATTCTTTCATTAATATAGCTACCACTTCTCAAGGTGCTGGATTTACTACAGTAACAGAAAAAAACCCTTTCATCACTGTGTCAACAGTACAGCAGCGTAGCTATAACACATGTAGTGTAGACATAACCTTGGGCTCCTAAGTCACTTGGTCACCTTTGGATATTTTGACTCCTAATTGTATTTGTCATCAATAATCTTTGGAGCAGAAACTCTCTCATACTATGTGCCTAGCACAGTAGAGCCAGATCCTGACTCAGCCCTCTAGGTGCTACCCTAATAATAATCACAATTAATTAATAAATTATTAACAATAAGGGGCGAAATTCTCTGCTGATGTAAATGCCTCAACTCCATTATAGTCAATGGAGTTTTACACATTTTCACCAGTAGAGAATTTGGCCAAATGACTAATTATAAAAAAAAAATGAATATTTGTGCTCATCCAACACTCATCCAAATTAGGGCAAAAAAATCTCTGGCTTGTCTTGGATAAAAAAAAAGAGATGACTGTTAAATTGAGTGCTCATGAAATGAGGCAAGTCCTCTTCGTCTCCCACTGGGACAAACAATTTTTTTCTAAACAAATGAGCATCCAAGTGGGAAATAAAGAAACTAGACTAAGTGTTTTTAGCTGTCCCACAAAATTGGACTGATATCTCAAGCGTGCCAAAGACAGGCAGAGGCCAGCCATGCCCTGTGGCTAGTCAACCATTCACTAGGAACCTCACAAACCAAATGTAAAGCTCAATTTTAAATCTTGATTAAACAGGAAGCAGAGTTTTTTATACTTTATACTAATGATAATCATTAAAAATGAAATATGAAATCCCTCAATGCCTTTAAGAATCAGACAGCATATAGAAGTGCCTAAATATGGATGCAAGAGCCAAAATTTAGGCATCCGTTTTATAAAATCTTTGTGTTTCCAGATAGATAGATATTTTCCTGTCATATGTTCATTATGTCAGTCATAACACAATCCACATTTCAGAATGTTACATCAAATACTCTTTAAAACAAAAACGGTGACATCTATGGATTTTAATCAAGATTTTAACCCACTACTTCTTACCAATTTGAAACCCCGCCCATCTCAACTTCTGCAAGCCTTCAGTCTCCTTGAATCATGTCCTCTTCATCCTTGTACATGTTCTCACAAGCACTCATTCTCGAAAATGGCAGCTTTCTAGATATTAAAATGACTGGCACCATCATTTTTGGCTGGAGCCAAATTCTACCTTTGAGGCCCTACTCAGATGGCATTCTGATGTACCTGTTGCATCACTTCGATATATGATGAATTAGTGTGCTAATAACTATAATTAGAGCTGGTCAAAATTTTTGACAACAGTTTTTCATCAAAAATGCAGTTTATTCACAACCGAAACGTAGTGGGGACCTGTTGATTTTGATGAACATTTTAGACAGGAAAAGGTTGAAATGTGTCATTTCTGTAGTGTCATTGTGATTCATTTTGTTTTGACTTTTATATTATAATCAAATTTAGTTTTACTATTTATATATTTGATTTAATATTATGTATACATTTATAGTATATTTAATATAATATAAACATCTACATGAAATTGAAACACTACTCTCAAAATGTTTTGACACAGACAAAATGTTTTGATTGTCTCAAATTAGAAATTTTGGCTTTTCATAGCAAATCAGAACAATTTTTTTCCTACAAAATGTCAGAATTTCTCACTCAACAGAAAGTTTGATTTCCAACCAGTTCTAACAGTAATGTCACAAGATGAGACAATAGACATGACTGACATAGCAACTCCTGATACATTACAAGCCAAAATGTCACTTCAGCAGCCACGATTGCTCTAAAATGGCCCCAAGTGGGATCATAGCTGTTCAAATGGAGCTAAAACATCTCCAACAGTCAGCTCACTCATAGTAAAGATGTGGAAATACATAATACCTCTGTGGTGGATGGCATGAATAATACTCCTACTTAGTGCTAAATACCAAATAGTAGCACTCTGATTGTTTACATGCACATGAAATAAAGCTGCACATATGTATAAACAATAGAGATGTTGCAGTCCTATACGCACATCTGGTTCTTTGATGAAGATCCTGTGCTAAATCCCTCTTGAATTGGGGAAGAATGAATTGAAATCTACACACCTGTTTTCTCCATTCTGGATCCTCTCCATTTTGCTATTTCATTAGCACTCTCACCAGTAGAGTTAAAGCCATTATGAAAACAAAATCAGAAGTGGTCTGTGTGTAGTAACCCTGGTTTTATGCAAGGTTAATTGTTCTTGTTATCGAAGTCTTGAGCCCCTTTTGGTGCCCAGATGTGCCAGGACAATTCCTTTGAGCTTGATCCTCTCTGATCCATATTTCCATGTAATAGAGCAGTAGCAAAACAACTTGCTCTGCTTTTTCAAATGTGTCCACTAATCTGAGTGCCTCAATTCTCGAGGTCCCAAAATGAGAGTCCCTAGGACTTGATTTTCCCTGGCGCTAAGCACCTACAGTTCCAGTTGTCTCCTGCTGGAGTTGTGGGTGTTAAGCATCTCTGGAAATGAGACCATAAGTGTTAGAATTGTACACCCCTAAATTAAAAATTTTGACCTTAATTATTATTTCCCCCCATATTACTTCAATCTGGAAAGGAAGGAAGTAATACATTCTTCAAAATGGGTATTAGTCACTCTTTCCCTGAAGTCTGATTCAGTTCATATCAGATTCAGTAGAGGAAAATCATACAGGAAATAAAATGCTTTAAATATACTGCATGATTGCTGTGAGAATTTTAAGACCTAATCCAAAGCCTGTTGAAGTCAATGGGAGTCTTTCCATTAACTTCAGTAGGAATCGCATCAGGTCCTTAAAATTTGAGTTGGTAGCATTCTTAGGCAATATCTACACTATGAGCTAGGGCCATGAGTTCTAGCTCGTACAGACGTATGTTAGCTCTCATGGAGCTAGTGCACTAAAAATAGTAGTGTAGCAGTGGTAGCACAAGCAGTGGTGAGTGGTGGCAGGGGCTAGCCACCCCAAGTACAAATTCATGGGTGGATGCTCAGGGCAGCTAACCTGTGTCACTGTTCACTGCTGCTTGTGCTAGCACAGCTACGCCACATGCTAAATCGATGAGAGCTAGTGTGAGTATGTCCACGTGAGCTGGGAAGCACAAGTGTAGACGTAACCTTAGACATTTGATTTACAAAGGTGGTGCTGGATATGGTGGAAGAAGTCTGTCCAAGAAAGGTAAGTCAGCTGTGTGTGAATGTAAAGTGACTTACTCTTTAACTGAATTTTGTGCTTTTCATAGGTGTATAATGACTGGCATGGCGTCTGGGAGCATAGTGCTTTTCTACAATGATTTCAACCGATGGCATCATGAATATCAAACCAGATACTGATGTTGCAACAGACCAGAACTAGCACTGACAAGGGCAGCTGCTGTCAGAATGAAACTGAACATAGCAAACCTCTATTCAGTATCCTGCCGCAGCGTTGTTCTGTATAAATAGCTATATTACAGCTGAATGTAACTTAAATTTGCTCGAAGAAGCAAACTATTTTTTAAAATTAATTGCTATTTTTGTAGACTTTGCATGATTTTTTGGGGCAAAGGGCAAAGAAGCAGAAAAATGGCTGCTGGGTTCTGTAGTTAAAAATCTATATTTTTAGTCATAATGAGAAGTCTATTTTGATTCATGTATGGAAAGAAACTTAAAATAAAGATAGTTAAAACTCTTATTCTAGCTATATTATGAAGAAATACATTTCCCATCTAAAGCTTTATCTATAACCTTGAGGAATATATGATTTTAACAAATTGAAAGTGGGTTATAATACTGGGGATTTTAATTTGTGCTACATTTTGTCTTGATGTACTTTTCCAAATGATTGTACTTCTTCAGCACTGAAGTTTCTGGGAATCAATAATAATATTTAAATTATGATAAATGTAATTTTAAACATGACAAGGAATTGTTTCCATCAATATTACTATTCAAGCATGTTTCTAGACCTAGACAATTAGTTCTTTTTTTAGTTATATGTTTTTGTTGTGCAGTTAAGAGGGAGAAATCAGCAACAGAGTCTGTGTTACATCAAATGTGAATCCTACTAGTTTTTACCTGATATCTCCTTCAGAGCACACCAAAATGTGCATTGTTCCTCAAAATCAAAACTTCAACTTGGGGAGTTTGGACATGTCCTCAAACTAGCAACCTACACAATATTTCTTTTTAATTAGATGCAAGTACCAAAGCACACTTCTGCTGCTTGACTATGAAAGCACTAAGAGGCAGGCATTCAAATGTTCATAGCCTTGACATCTTTGCAGAAGCTCTAGACTTGCAAACTTCTTTCCCATTTACTTTTTTTCTTCAGAGGACTAACCACCATAGTTACGTAGCAGATTCCATATCTTGCGCTGTGTATGACAACAAAACCGTTCAGTTTCTGCTACCAAATCCAATCCAATCTTGTCCAATCATGTTAATAAATTATCTCCTCCCTTAGGAAATGAAAAATAATTTATACTAAGGAACAATAAGTTATTTTGGTGTTGCATAATTCTACTTTTCTACAAGATTGCTGTGCAGAATTCTGTGAAAATATTTGTGAAAAGAACTGTATTGTTTTGTAAGTCTGTATTGCATAAATAACTCTTTGTATGTTGTGATCTATATGAGTTAAAACTTACATTCCATATCTGTATCAATTTCTCTAGCTGCCTACTGGAGCAGTTCCCATTTTTCTCTTTTAAGCAAAGATTTGGAATGAGAAAACTCAGTTTGAGTGAAGAAATTAAATAAAATGGCATTTGTAATTGAGACCTTCAATGCAGTGCATTGGGCTCTTGTGTTTTCAATATGTACATACAGTCACCATCACCCAATGCATTTGCAATACAAAGAAAACACAGGGTTTTGAGACAATAATGGCCTGCTATTTCACTGTGTTATACCATTTTTATGCTGGTACAGTGTATCTATATTGATGTCAGTGGAGTTACACACTAAGGTATAACAGAATGGAGAATCTGGTTAATGATATGTGGTAATCATTATCTCTACCTGATAAAGTGCAGAACAATCACCCACTAATAAAATGCCTTTACAAACTTTTGCTATTTGCAAAATTCATATCTCTTTATAAATAGCTTTTAAGTAGACATAGATATGAACTTGAACTTCTTTTATAAGGCTGAATATTCCCTGTATAGGTTTGTAATGAATATATAAATGCTGTGTAATGAGTTTGTTACTAATATTTGCAGTGAGGGTCAGATGAATCTCTATCATCTATCATATTATCCAGGTGCAAAATACAGAATTTAAAATTTTCTACTTTAGTTTTCTTAGTTAATTTAGAACTGAATTCAGTAACATTGAATTACTCACTGAAATAATGTTCTTTGATCTTAAAGTATTTCATGGGCACTTGAAATGGTAGAGATTTCAGCCTTTATTTTAAAATGGTTGGTGGGGGTTTTTTAAATGGTTTCAGCATAGGCAATAGGCATTGCTGCAGTAGGAGCCCTTACATTGGGATACCATGCTGGAGTTCTGTCCCAACACCTATGCCCTCTCAGACAACACAGTCAGACCTATAGCGGCTGGGGCCTTGTTGGTCAGGAGAGTCCTTCCCCAACTGGAGCATTCATATGATATTTATTGTTTATGTTCCAGTGCCATTTGGGGTTGAGTCCAAGCTGCTGCATGTAGACTGGGTGGTCTGTGGTGGTAACTTGGAGCCTCCTGGGGAATCAGGATGTCTCTCTTTATTACAGCCCTGCTTTGAACACAATACAAGTTTGTCACACCCCACCTATATAAGAAGAAATCTCCACCCACTGTTCTCCTAACTGCTTCCACAAACTTTAATTCTAGATCTGCAGTGTTGTAGCCATGTTACATCAGTTCTAGACACGTCCCCTGTTGCCTCTGGCGTGGGCTTGAACATCCCTTTTGCCAGCTGGCAGAGGAGGCTGTGTCAAAGTTGTGGGGGTACCAGACTACACATTTAATTCTCAGCACTGTGGCCAAACCAAATGCTTTCACTGCGGGGGGGGGTGGGGGCTAGGGGAGAAAGTTTTATGCTTGGTTGAATTAATCCTGCCTAACACAGGTTCTTGTACGCTCTTCTTTAACCTCCAATATGATATGGAGTGCAAACAAGGAGTTAAATTCCCAAATACTATTTCTCCATTAGTGTAATCAATGAAAAGCCTGTGCTAGCCCTCTTGATTAGACACAATTTAGTAAACAGGTGCCAGAGATTAAATTACAATTAAACAATTCTGAAGTGTGTGTATATATATATATATTTATTTATTTTTTCCAGAACACAGCTGAGGGAGAAGGGAGCTGTTGCAAGATGGAAAGTGAGTTTCCATTTTTGCCAAGAGAGACAACTTTTAAATTCAGAAAGATCAAGCATGGTTCACTGACTCTCTCAAACTCTGGTAAGCTCATATTCACATATTTTCTCATAGAAATGGATGTGATCTCTGACTTACCCCAACCAATATCTTATATGAACTGATGATGAATGTAAGGCCAGTAACACTGAGAATGTTTAGAAATAAGTTGGAGATTTTCAGTTTATTTTAGAATACTCATCTTCAGTAGCTTCATATCAGTTATGTTTCTTATAAGCCCCTGGCCTGAATGTTACAGTATTTGAGTAGCCATTATGTTTTATATAGAATTCTATTTTCTTTAGAGGAAGTTTGAGTACTGCAGCATTGTACTCTATTCAAAGGTAAATGAATGTAATGTCAATCTGAGAGCCTTTCCTGAGCAGTCAGCAACTATTACATTATATAATTAGAAGAACCTCTCTGTCTACAAATTGTGCATTCAGCTAGTCTGTGGAAAATATGTTTGTATTACTGTTACCCTGTCCCCCATCCCTGCCATTCCTCCAGTTTGTCTGCCTCACCTACCTATAGTGCTTTGTCTTAATCTAAGATTGCAGTCTCTTTGGGGAAGGGAATTTTATTAAGTCTGTATAGCACCCAGTACAATAGATCCCTAACCTGCTTGGGGCCCATCAATGCTATTGTAAAAAAATAATAAATGTTAAGAACAGTGATTTTTATGTTCCACTAAAAGCAGCTATGGTTTACTTTGAAAAGGGAACTTTAAGTTGTCTTAGTAGCATGAAAATTCTTATTAGAGCTCTTCTCAGTAGGAAATTAGTATGATTGTTGAGTTCAGCATTCTAATTCTAAAAGTGTTCAGGTTGGTATTTTATTAGGAAACATTCTGGAGATTCCTTCCTGCTGTGTGGTGTAATGTTCTCAGCACAGCTCAAGCTGAGGGTTTCCAACAAACAAACAAAGAGAGGCTGCTCCATTGCTTCTACATCTGTGCACAAAGCAGGCTGTTTTTCCAAGCACCAGCTGGTGTCAGCAGACTGGTAATCAATTTTTCTTTCTTTCTTAGGAGAAAAAGTAAATTGAGTTATTCCAAAACCACGTGTACAGAAAGGAATGTAGTTCATTGTGACTTTGGCTGGGACCTACCTCCTATTAATTTCTGTATTTAGACATATTGTTTTAGAATGAGATAGAAATGGTGAATATCCAGACCAGGGATCTCTAACTCAAATGACCACGAGAACAACATGAGGACTAGTACATTGGCCCAAGGGCTGCATCACTGACACCCCTGCTGCCCCTGCCCCCACTCCACCCCTTCCATGAGGCCCATCCCACCCTCTTCCCCACCCCTATTCCAACCCCTTCCCCAAATCCCTGCCCCTGCCCCACCTCCTCCCCTGAGCGCATAACTCCTCCCTCCTGGAAAGTGCTAAGCACCGCCAAACAGCTGTTTGGTGGCGGAAAGTGCCTGGAGGTAGGCAGAGGAGCGGGGTGTGACGGGTTGGATCACAGAAACCCCCTTGGGAGCTGCCACCCAATGTGCCAAGACTACCCCTGCTTCTGTTTTCCCTGCCAGCTCAGGACTCCAGCACCCTGTTTGCTGAGCCAGACACTCCCGTCTGGCTCCAGACACAGACCCAGGGTCTGAATCACTTGTCCCGAAGCTGCAAGTTTACCTGAAAACAGCTCACAGACTTGTCTTTAGCACTCAGATGCCCAACTCCCAATGGGGTCTAAACCCAGATAAATCAGTTTTACGCTGCATAAAGCTAAAGTGTTATAGAGGGCGAACAATTTGAGTTTACCCTGCATAAGCTTTATGCAGGGTAAACTCATAAATTGTTCGCCCTCTATAACACTGATAGAGAGAGATGCACAGTTGTTTGCTCCCCCAGGTATTAATACATACTCTGAGTAAATTACTAAATAAAAAGTGATTTTATTAAATACAGACAGTAGGATTTAAGTGGTTCCAAGTAGTAACAGACAGAACAAAGTAAGTCACCAAGCAAAATAAAATAAAATGCGCAAATCTATGTCTAATTAAACTAAATACAGATACTGAAGCATCTCTGAGGGTGAGATTAAGTTTTTCTCAGACTGGACACCTTCCAGGCCTGGGCACAATTCTTTCCCCCGGTTCAGCTCTTGTTGCAGCTCAGGTGATAGCTAGGGGATTCTTCATGATGGCTCCTCTCCCCCTTTTGTTCTGTTCCACCCCTTTATATATCTTTTGCATAAGGTGGGAACCCTTTGTCCCTCTGGGTTTTCACACCCCCCCCCCCACACACACTGGAAAAGCACCAGGTTAAAGATGGATTCCAGTTCAGGTGACATGATCACATGTCACTGCAAGACTTCATTGCCCACTTACCAGCACACACATATACAGGAAGACTTACAGGTAAATACAGCCATATGCAGACAATGGTCCTTGTTAATGGGAGTCATCAAGATTCCAAACCATCATTAATGGCCCACACTTTACATAATTACAATAGGCCCTCAGAGTTATATTTTATATTTCCAGTTTTAGATACAAGAGTGGTACATTTATACAAATGGGATGATCACACTCAGTAGATTATAAGCTTTGTAATGATACTTTACAAGAGACCTTTTGCATGAAGCATATTCCAGTTACATTATATTCACTTATATTTTTATAAAACCATATAGACTGCACAACGTCACACGGGGAATGTGGTGTGCTGGGGGGTAAGGGGAGGCGACAGGTGAGAGGAGCTTGGCGGCCTCAGGAAATAACTCGGGGGCCGTGGGGAGCTTGGCAGGCCACAGCAAACGCGGGCCGCGTGTTTGAGACCCCGATCCAGACAGTGATGATGCCTTGGGTGCTTCTGTTACTGACATATCTGCTTTGCTTTGTTTTACTTTTCTTTTTAAATTTGATAAAAATAATTTAACACTATGGTTTATTTCAACACCTAGGAAATTGGCTGCATTCTAGGTGAATAAAATCACACTCATAAAGGGGGTGTATTTAAGATTCCTCGGTGTGCTGTTTCTGTGGGTCGTGAGGACTTCCCAAGACATGTTAGAACCACAGTTGCCAACTTTCACTGAGTAAATAAGCACCCCAACTTTCACAATAAGACAAAAATCAAGCTAATCCCATTTCAAAACATGGCCAAAACAAGCCAATCGCTAAGAACCCCGACCCTCTATGTGACTAGAACCTCCTGGCATGCAGTCTGGGACTGTGGTGGGCCCACCATGCACCCCTGACTCCCTCTTCCCCCTTCCCCGCCCTGCTTGCCCCTGCTTGCTGGGGGCCGATCAAAAAAAAGAAGCAACAAGCTACAAGCCAAAAACTAGCCAACAAGCAACTCACAAGCCAATTAAGCCAAAAAACAAGCCCAATTTCTGCATTTTTTTCCACAGATTTGGCATGTCTGGTTAGAAATCTTTTAAGTCCTCAACTGAATACCCTCATCAATTCCTGTATAGTAATGGTGTTACTATGGAATGCAAAATAGTTTATTTTTGGGTGTACCTAATTTAGTGTGTACTTGGGAAACTGATACAGTTGAAGGTCCAAATCATTATTTGTTTATATGTCATAATCTACGGCTGATCTGTAAAAGCCCTGGATCAAAAACTATAGGAGATTGTTCTTGATTTTTGTTTATGCTGATTGAAATTTAACTGCATATAGCCTAAGGCTCTATAATTTAAGAAGTACAGAAGTACAGCTAGTCCTGTGGGGAAAGCAAGGGGTAGAATATATGAAATTGAAAAGCTGATCCAAAAAGAACAAATTCTCTCTTGTAAGCAGTTTATCTGTAGATGAGACTTATTACTATAAACGTGTGTAAATTTTAGAGAGAGATTTTAATGACACTAATAAACCTTATATATAAATAAATATAAGTTTATGGGGGAAATTTAGGAATAAAATTTTTTGGTAAAAGGAGTTTATCCAGGTACCAGCCTTTGTACTTAGCATTCTCCACAAGAATTTATGCCCATGGAATACAAAGAAGTTTTTGCATCTTATAAAATTTGCAGTATATGAAAATACATGTTTAATTGATGATGGCATCCCAGGTAACACAGCAGATTAAAAACTTTCCAACATGGTTTTCTCTGGCAACAACACAGCATTATACAGGAATGTAAAAAGAACAGATGTGCTTGTTTCCTGTTATTTTCTGCTTGCCTAAGGGAACAAGTTTTGGGTTAGGTTATTTACCATTTTCTTCTGGATTTTCTGTTTTCCCTCTCCTCCCCATTGTGACTGTGTGCATTGTATATCCTGGACACAGTTCTGCAAGGTGCTGAGCTCTCTGGTCTCATCCTGCAAAACAGTTAACAGACTACTCAAATGTTTAAAATTGAGCATGTGCTTAAGTCCTTGGCTGGATCAGGGCAGAGGGCTCAGTGCCTTGCAGGATTGAGTGCCATGAGGGCAAAGTTCACTTCAAGGCCAACTTTTGCAAGTTGAATTTGACTTGCACACCTCACGTAGGGTGACCAGACAGCAAATATGAAAAATCAGGATGGGGTGGGGGGTAATAGGAGCCTATATAAGAGAAAGACCCAAAAATCGGGACTGTTCCTATAAAATCGGGACATCTGGTCACCATAACCCCACCTAATGTGAAACATACCTTTTGGGGTTATTATGCAAAAGATGTGAGCTAATGAACTGGGATGAGGGGAAGAAAATTAAGGCTTTATTCAGCAAAGTTCTGATCACCTCTTGCAGCTCACATGAAGCCTATGAGAGCAGAAGCCCTAAGGTGAAGTAGTAGTTCTGATAGCTAGAGGCAGGGCCAGCTTCAGCATTTCTGCCGCCCCAAGCCAAAAAAAAAAAAGCCGCGATCGCGATTGGCGGTGGCAATTGGAAAAAAAAAAAAAGCCGTCATTGGCGGCGGCAGTTCAGTGGCAGGGAGTGAGGGACCTGCCGCCCCCGAATTGTCGCAGGTGCCACCCCAAGCACCTGCTTGTTAAGCTGGTGCCTGGAGCCGGCCCTGGCTAAAGGGGTAGGGCTATGTGAAAAACAAAGTCTGTGACCTTTCCAAATGGTGTGTAAACCAATCTGCTCTTTTCTCATTCATAATGCCAACTAAAACTCTTGAAAAGAAAGGGGGAATTATTTGCATTGTTCTGCTTTTTCTGAAGATATCTTACAAGATTCTCACTCCTTTGTCTCAAGTAGAACTCCCCAGGTTCTAACAGATTTTTTAATTAAGAATAGAAGCAATAGTGGGTAGAAGCACCACCCTACCCTACTGGTTATTGCATGCCATGTTGGTTTTTAAAGCATCCCTGGCAGCGGGCTGCATACATGTCTTTAAAAGCTATATCTTTTTGGGGTGAATGAGAGTGACATTATCACCTACTCTATATAAAGGACTAGACCCCCATGATTGCCTCCATTCCTTCTGTACCAGCACAGAGAGCAAATGGAACTCACTTTCATGTCTTCAGGCTACACGTTCCATAGTTTACCTTATTATTTTCTTGTAAATAGTGTAGAGAGTTAGAAGAGAGCTTAGCATACATAACCTGGCCATATCCCAAAGGCCTTTGAACCCTCAGTTGGACAATATCAGGGCCCAAACCTCGTAAGGGTTTCAAGAGATGCACCTCCTGCCTGTCAGTCATATCAAAGATAGATGCCCCTGTCAAAGCCTTCTGTTTCTGGGTGAGACCCATGCTGTGAGCCTGTGTTGCTCCTGAGGGAATTCTGCACCAAAAAAATTAAAATTATGTGCACAGTATTTTAAAATTGTGCAAATTTTATTTGTCAATAAATGTGGTTCCAGCATGGCGGGGGGAGCACAGGCCACTGGCTTCAATGAGGTGGAAGATCACCCTGAAGGTCCCACGTCCCCCAGTACAGGGACTTGGCAGTGAGGCTGCCCCTACTGACCCTGACACAGTGCTAGGGCTGGGCCGGGCCTGGCCCAGAAACACCCTGGGGCCCTGCCCCTCTCTGCCAGGCACACTAGGTGTGGGTGGGCAGGCTCGGCCGAGCAGGATCCAAGTATAGAGGGGCTTAGTGTGGGGGGGATCCAGAAGTTTCTATGTGGGGCAAACTAGGTGCAGGTAGCTCAGTGGGAGATCTGGATGCACAGGGGCTCATTGGGAGGTTCCCTGTGCAGGGGCAATGGGACTCTGCAGGGGATCCAGGTGAAGGTGGTTGGGGGGTCTGGGTGTGGGGAGCTTGCGGGGGGTGTCTGGGTGCAGCTGCTTGGGGATAAGTGGGCTCTGGGAGTGGGGGGCTAGTCAGGGTGAGGGTTCGATGGGCCTGCTTAATGAGGGAGCCCCAGCTGCTGCTGAGGGGATACCATAGGCCGGGCTCCCGCTCCCCTCCCTCCTCCCATGATTCCCCATCTCCTTTTCTTCTCCATCCCCCTCCGCACATTCCCTCCCGCCCTATTCCACCCCCTTCCTTCCCCACTGCCTCTTTCCCCCACTCCCTCACCCCCCCTTCCCTCATTTCCCCCAACACCCCTTACCCAGTCCCACCACCGGCACTCACTGTGGCACAGAAAACAGGAAGGCTCCCAGCACACAGAAGGGGAGCACAACTGGCACTAGGACCCAGGAGACGGCGTTCAGCTGCAGAGTCATCAGAGTGCAGACCGCAGCCTCCTTCAACTGGGCAGCTCTGCACTTGATGGGGGTAGGGGGCAGTGGCACGTAACCCATTGTGCCTCCCCATGCCTCATCTCTGTTTGGAGGGGAGCAATCCCCCTCACCCCCCAAACTGTGCTCTTGGTCATCCTCCTGCCCCCTCTCCGGCACAACTTCCCTGCCATTTTCTGCAGGAATTCTGTGGGAGGGAGGGGCATTTTCTGCAGGCATGCAGTCATGCAGAATCCCCCCAGGAGCACTGTGTGCAGTTTGCATACCCCACTAAAGGAACAGATGCTTAAGGCTCCAGGCTCATCTGGACCAGATCTGAGGAACGGGTTGAGTCTCCATCAGTGGAACCATACGAGCCTCTTTTGGAGGAACATAGAGATGGCACCTTACCAGATGATCAGATGGCTGCTTCATCTGTTTGCTGTCCTGAGAAGAGGAAACCGTTTCAGGAACTCTTGGGGAGAATGGCAGATGCGGGGTCACAGGACTGGAGACACCTGATCCCGTTTGACACATTACAAATGTAGATCACAGAGAAGCTGGCTCTGCCTATTGGCTCTGATGTTCTCACCAGAGCCAAGGAGATCTGACTTGCTCCATTTTCATACCCCATATGTAGCCAAGAGAGCTGACAGGATGTATCTTGTACCAGCTGAAGGGCATCCAATTTTTACTATAGCACCCTTTGGCAAACTCCCTGGTTCCCACACTACAGCAAAGAGTTAGGCTCAACAAGGCTTCTTGCAGCACCCTTTTGACAGGGTCATAAGCTGGATGCTTTTGGCAGGAGAGACTACTCTGGAGCTCACCAGGCTTTCAAGTGGCCAGCTATGAAGCTATGATGTCCCACTATAATTATGCTCTGTGGGATGCCACAAGCCCTGGCCTTGTCCAAGGAACAGGAGGAAGCAGAGTGGGCTCCTGGTCACTGACATGCAATGCCTTGGACACCAGTGGCTGCAGGAGTGGCTCGTAGGAGACACTCCTAACACCTGAATCCCAGGGGGAAAACCAGAGACGTCCCATTTGAGGGCACGGGTTTCTTTAATGACAAAACTGATAAGGCCCCAGAGAAGATCAAGGCCACAGCCTGAGCCTTGGGATTAACAGTCCTCAGAGGAATGGCTTCTACCCAGCATCCTGAATCCAAAGATGGACTCTGGCACAACACCAAGGGTTGTAGTCACAGAGGCAATATCAGTTGTCTCCTAAACCTGCTACTAGCAAATGACCTCAGTGGTACAAGAGCAGGATTTCTTGCTACATGTCCTGAGAGTCCTCAGCATTAGCATCTAAACAGCAGTTCTAATGATGTGGTCAAAGGCCATGTGCTGAGTTACATCACATCTCAGTCCTTTTTCCCTCATCCCAACCCCTCAGATCTCCTCCTCGTTCTGTGGCACCTATCTGAGGACTTGATGTCTCTCTAGCTGGCTCATTGTGGTCCTAGGATACCTTCTACTCCTTACGTCTCTGAGTTTAGCCTTATGGTATGTCTACACTGCAATTAGATGCACACAGCTAGCCTGTGCCACCTGACTCAGGTCCTGGGCTAAGGGACTGTTTAATTGCAGTGTGGATGGTTGGGTTTGGACTGCAGCCTGAGCTCTGGGATTCTCCAAACTCACATTGTCCAGGAGCCTGGGCTCTAGCCCAAGCCCGAACACCTACACCATAATTAAACAGCCCCTTAGCCTGAGCCCAAGTCAGCTCGCATGGGCAAACTAGGGGTGTCTAAATGCAGTGTAGGCATACTCTTAGTCTCCCAAAATGTTCCAATGGCAGCAATATCTGCTCATCAGTTATACTGTGGATACAACCATCTTCTCTCACCCTTCAGTCTCCAGGTTGCTTTTGGGCATGGTGAATACATTTTCCTCTAATAGGGAGTTGTTGCCTTCATGAGACTTAAATTTTGTCCTAATGAAGCTGATGGGCCCTTCTTATAAGACACTTTCACAAGTTTCTCTTGAACATTTATTGATCAAAATTGTCTTCCTGATAGCAATTATATCTGCTAGGAGGGTGAGTTTAGTGCTTTGATGGCCACACCACCTTATACTGTAGTCCACAAGGATGACATGAGCATGAGGCCTTGTATGAGCTTCGTACCTTCGGTGGTCCCAGATTGCCACCTGTATTTCCCTCTCTGATCTTCCCTTAACCACATTCATGCCTAGGGAAACTTATCTCTATACCCTAGAGGTAGAGAAGGTGCTGTTTTTTACCTGCATGAAAACAAGCCCTTTAGAAAATCCAGTATGTTGTTTGTAGCAGATGGGGAGATATGCCAGGAAGAACCTAATACAGAGCAGACTCTCTTAGAGGATTAGGAGATGTATAGAACAATGTTACAGTTTAGATAGGAAATCACTATCTCCTAGTTTAAAGACTCATCCCATGAGAACCTCTGAAGTTTCAGCAGTATACCCAAGGCAGGTTCCCCTGGTGGAGATATGCAAAGCAGCATCTTGGAGTTTGGTGCATGCTTTCACCAGACATTACTCACTGAATTTATTATTGTGCTCCATTTAGTCTAGTTTGGGAGAGTCATGCTACTATCTATATTTGACTAAGAACTCATCTACCATCCTCCTGGTGGGGCACTGCTTGCTAATCTCCCACAAGTGTGATGCACAGAGGTCCTCACAGAAGAGAGGTTACTTACGAGCAACTATTGTTCTTTGAGAGTTGCCTCTATGCATTCACACTACTGCCCACTTTTCCCTCTTCCATATATCAGGCTCTGTAGTTGCAGAGACTGACTGTTCCTGCTCTCCCCCTCCAGACACAACTTTTCAAGGCAGATCCACAGCATGATGCCAGGGTGCCATATCCCACAATTGTGACTACCCAAAGGCGACTCTTGAATAACAGTCACCTCTCTTTAGTACCTCAATAGGTAGAGCAATGAACATGTAAATATAACCACAATCACAAAAGTTTTCTCCAAACTCTGAAAGAAGGAGGGTGTGTGTGAATGAGTGAGAACCCTATAAGAGATCAGCGACCGAGAATTTCAGGAAAGCAAATCCTCTTCTCTGAAGATACCATCTTCCTTCTGAAGAGTACCCTGTTTGAAGGATGTTGCAAAACAAAATGAGCAACTAACTGAAACCGTAACTGCCAAAGAGCAAAGCCAACAAAAATGTTTTTTGTGGGGTTTTATTGAATATAAGTGTGTGGTAAAACCTCCCAGGTCTGAATAGGTAGGTGAAGAAGCTTGTGCATCCCTGTTGAAAACCACTTTTGCAGAACTGGAAGTAAGATTCCTTCCTAGAGGCAAAATCAAAGCCACAGTGCTTTCTAAATGTATGGAGCAAGAGCTATGTGGCTGCCTTCCTTATGTCTATAATGGAAGCATCCCTGAGACATGCATCTGATGAGGCCGCTCAAAGCACCAAGAGGTGCTAAACAAAAGGTCTGGGGCGCAGAGTCCAAGGTCACCAAAGCCTGGACAGTGATGCCCCTTCGGTGCTCCTCAGCAGTCATATGCCAAAGAGCCACATGGTTACTAAAATAATAGAAGACTGGCTCTAACAGGCAGGGGCCATCAAAAAGATGCAAAGGGAGACCAGATGATTCTCTAGAGAAAGCTTTTCACTCACAATAGCCAAGAAGTACCTGATGGGAAGGTTTCAAGGGTGGTGATTAAGGTCTGGTGCCGCATGTGACCACAAAGCAGCGGGCCTACTGCTGCCCTTAATATGCCAAACTTATGGTGACCAGGTAGCAAGTGTAAAAAAATCAGGATGGAGGTGGGGGGAATAGGTGCCTATATAAGAAAAAGCCCCCAAAATTGGAACTGTCCCTGTAAAATCAGGACATCTGGTCACCCTATTCAAACTCCTTTAGAGTTAGGCAGGCAGAATCCCTCTTCCCCCCATCTTATAGTCAAGAGCACAGACCCTGTGCAGTTGGGACCTTTGGAGAGAGGTCTTTCTCTTCCAACTTCTCCATGTCACAAACAATGACTTTCCCCATCTTTCTTACATAACACAAGTCAGCAAAGCTCTTGTTCTATTGACTTTCCTATTTGTTTTGTATCAGTGCTGTTGCTGTTAGGTTATATCAGTGCATAGGAGTAGCTAATGTCTGCTGATTAACAGAAGGGCACAGAGTTTTCACACTCTTAAACAAAAACTGTCTCAAAATTTAGACAAACCAACCATCTGTTTATGTAAGTATTTGCACTGTGGATGGCACTCAGTCAGGCCCCAAATATGACCTGTATTCATATTGAAAGGAGCACAAGTAGACAAAAATGTATGATGCAATTTGCTCGTCTCACTTCTTCTACAATGAGTATGTATTAACTTCAGAGCTCTGCAACTGTTTTGAGTCCCCAGAGGTCAAGAGAAGTAAATTCCAAGGCTATATGTAAGTTCAGTTTATTCTGCAAAGTACCACAGTGAAATCACAATTAGTCTTCGATAGCAACTTAGGATACGTCCACACTACCCGCCGGATCGCCAGGTTGCGATCTATCTATCGGGGATCGATTTATCGCGTCTCATCTAGACGCGATAAATCGATCCCTGAACGCACTCCCCGTCAACTCCGGAACTCCATCCGGGTGAGAGGCGGAAGGCGCGGCCGTCGATCTAAGATAAGTCGACTTCAGCTACGCTATTCTCGTAGCTGAAGTTGCGTAGCTTAGATCAATCCCCCCCTCCAGTGTAGACCAGGCCTTAGTATAGAGAAGAAGTTTCCCCCAGTGCTACCTCTAATTATTTTAATGAATGTATTATTTTATAATTAATTCAGAAATGTCTGGGAGCTTCACAATGGCCTCACCATGAGGATACAGTTTAGTCACCAAACAATCTAGAACACTTGCTGTAGAATGTTCTGCAATATGTCAGCTTGGCTTTTATCTCTAGAAGCAGCATGATCATGCTAGTTTCCTCCAATCTCAGGTGTACATCCAGTGAATAACATGAAACCAACGGGGCTGACAGCGTTCACTGCCTTGTATCATCTGAATCTAAATGAGGAACAGGAGTAAAAAAATAGGTAAGTTGTTACTTTTCTAATGCATATTTTATAACACTAGGGAAGGTGCAAAGGGATAAGCTGCGCTCAACATCTGTTAATTTTGAATACCTAACTTTAGCAATTGCTCTTTCCCATTTTCTGTTCATCACTGGTTTAGTGAAATGGAAAAGTATATATCTACATTTAATAAGATAGTCAAAAGTGTGTTTACTAGGCTATTGAAATACTTACTGGATAGTGATAGGCATGAGTCATGGTGACCGGTAGATTAAATCATCTTGTATCTTAATGATATATTACCAGTAATTAAATTAATTCATGTTAAAGAATGGGAGCCAGATCCTCAGCAAGTGTAAATCACTGTGGTTTCAACTGGAGGCAGAGTGATGATGACTTACACCAGCTGAGAATTTGGCCCTGAATGTTTAGCTTTTGAGACAGAGAGATTTTACATTTGGGCCAGTGCTTTGGGCCACATATAGATACTCATAGGATATATGTGCACCTGTTCAAGTTTGAAGGGTTGTAGTCCATAGAGCTAGCTACTTTTAGTATTTATTTTATTCAGCAATAATGTAAGGAACCTACAGACCTGTGAGAGATTCGCTTCAGCAGTTAGCATAAGGCTTGAGGGCTATCAACTTTGGCACAGATAAATGGCCAACTGTCAGTCCTAGGTTTTGGAGAACTGAAAATTTTTGTGCTTAATGACACCAGCTTTTGGTTAGAACATTCTCAGATGTCTAAGCACAAGAGTGCCATGGCAACTAATTGACCTATATGATAATAGGTTGAGATCATTAATATACTAACCTCTAGAAGGAAGACACCCCCATATTAGTAGGGGGAGGAAATTCAAATAAGAAACCCGTACTGAATAGGCACAAGATCTAGATATAAAAGTTGTATCCCAGCCTGTGTGCAGGAGGAGAGAGAGAGGTAGCCATTATCTTCCTCATCACCAGTGACATCATTCTGGCTAACATTTCAGGTTGTTCTGCAAGGGATGGTGAGTATATCAATTTTCAAATGTACATTTTGTATTATTTCTGTCTACCTTATGGGTTAGAATGTTAGACTATTGTATAGTGTGAGTGTTGCAACTGTGCACATCAGGATTCCCAACTACCCAATAATTTTAAAATCTTGGGACAAGAACCTGTTAAACCTGAGTGACAATTGGGAATTCTTAAGTACTCAGTATAATAATACAGAATCTATAGATCAGCAGAATTAGCATTCCTATTCAAGTACATTTAAAAGCAGGAAAATAACTATCAATTCTAACAACTACCCACAGTTGATAAATTAGGAAATGTCTATTGATAATTAGGAATTACTTCTGTTGAAACCATAAACTCACAAATGTATGCACTTTGTAGATGCTAATGCAATACCTTTTTTAGAGGACAAATCAGCATGTGGGCCAGGTTTGTTTTATTAGAGAGACAAGGTCTAGGCCTGAAGAATAGCTCTGTGTAAGCTTAAACTTCTCTCTCTCACCAACAGAAGCTGGTTCAAAAAAGATATTACCTCAGCCACCTTGTCTCTCGAATATCCTGCGACCGATACATCTATAACACTGCATACAAATTTGTTCTATGAAATTTTATACTTTTGCCGTTTTCCTGCCACTGATATTCTTTTCCTATGTGATTTCTTTGTAGAAATAAGTGTTTAAGGGGGAGAGTTCACCTCAGAGCTATGCTTTCTCATGGTATGTCTTGTTTCAATTTGCATCCTTTAGGAACATCATCTCTTTATTGCCCTTGCCAACACTACAAAACCCACCAATTTTAACCTGGCACCAGCTGTTAGTCTCAATCCTCTTTTCTATTCTTATCCCCCAATACAACAACCATCTTCAAAACAGCTGATTTTCTTCTCCTCTCTGAACTTCAGGCACACTACACATCTGGTCATTGTCTTTCTCTCTCCAACTACTCTCTCCATCAGATTCTTTCAGGACTCTATCCTTGGCAATGCCATCTAGTTGCATGGCTTCAGCCACTACAATGATGACAGACCGATTTACCTTTCCATATGCCTCCCTGACATTGGTTTCTGGATGTTTCACTACTGACTGAAGCTCAACCTGATCAAAGTTCAGCTCAATTATCATTCAAAACTTAATCATTACAGTTTTTACCCCGATCAGCAGTAATGTCATTTTTTATAAAGACAACTTCTGCCACTTCAATACTGTTGCTACCTTCAGAACCCATCTGTAGGTCCTCTCCACACCTGTGACCTAAAATAATTGGCTACGTCCTTACCACTTTTCAACTTCTTTGGGTCTACCTTGACCGCTACTCCAACTGTCTAGCCCTTTTTTGCTCCCTTTATTGGTTTTCCCTCCTTCACTCTGCACTATCACCCAATTCATTCTCTTTGTCCTACTCATCTGTCACTTTCAGCATACTGCCCCCTATGCTAGAGACACCCTACATTGCATTATATCCAGCCCTTCTAAAATCACACTTCTTCCTGTAGGCCCTATCCATGACATGTTAAATGTAAAATTTACAAGATGTATACCAAACATGACTGTCTGCATGGTGTTTGACTAGTTTCTGTACTCTGAGGCTGAGATGTTATCTTCAATGTATACTTTTTGTGTAATACAATGGTTTGGACAGGGTCAAACCATGTTAGTAGCAGTGCTTTAATCCAGGCCAAGCCACCTTATCCCAGTAACAAAACTAACTCAAAACAAGTTTAACAGAACTACATTTTAATGAAATATTTTTGCTGCTGATCTACAGCTTAACCAGTCAACACTTTTTCTTAGACCAAATTGCACTAGTCCTTTCCACCAATAGGCACCCAAATCCCATATTGTGTCCTAAACTCAGTTACCTTTGAAAACAGAGGGCTGACTGGCTCCCAAGGAAACCAGCATATCTTGAGTCAATCAGTAGGCGTGACAACTGTTCTTTTGTGAATGGTTTGAGTTGCTCTCAGGCTAGCTCAGACTAAGGGTACGTCTACACTTACCGGAGGGTCCGGCGGCAGGCAATCGATGTTCTGGGATCGATTTATCATGTCTGGTTTAGATGCGATAAATCGATCCCAGATCGATCCCGGAAGTGCTCGCCGTCGATGCTGGTACTCCAGCTCGGCGAGAGGAGTACGCGGCATCGACGGGGGAGCCTTCCTGCCGCGTCTGGACCCGCAGTAAGTTCGGACTAAGGTACTTCGAATTCAGCTACGTTATTAACGTAGCTGAATTTGCGTACCTTAGTCCGAAGTGGGGGGTTAGTGGGGACCAGGCCTAAGGGACTTAAGGGGGACCGTTGTTCTTCACTGATCCTGCCAGCCTTGTCCGGAAATTGATTTCACAGGAATAAATGACTAATTATTCTTTTAATGAAGAAAGTTTATTATTGCAGGTCTGTTACAATTCTAATAGAAAGTAAAAGCTAACAGAAAATGAACTAGGACCAATTTTTCTCATCAACAAGCAGAGGAAATGAATAAGCAGAGTACATACACTATTGAACTCAGCAGTATGATAAAGATAAAACACCTTCCATCCTTGACTGCAGATCAGTGTCTCCCCCATTATGGTTTCCAGTTCCTGCACTAGATGAAGAGGGGGATGGTAATAAAATATTGGCAGCTATTTAGGTGGTTAGTGGTAGTTCTTCTATTAGTCAGCTTGTCCTAGAACTAGGAACTGCTCCATCCTAGCTTATGTAGCATGCTTTCCATTCAAAGAAGTTTTATTGTTTCTAATACATACTGTAGTTGTGAGGGGAGGGTACACAATAGCTAGATTGAAAAAGCTACCTTGACTGCAGTCTTCAGACCAATAAATGCCCAGAGTTCATGTTATTACATCCAAAGTCACTTGAATTTATTATCTAAACACTATCCTGAAGTCTGGTATTGAAGAAAAAGGACCCCTTCTCTGAGAAGCTTGTCTTTCAATATTGTACAGTTAATCCACTCAAGTTTTTCATGGAAACTTAACTCACTGTAGCCACTAGGACAGGAGAGAAATACAGCTTTTTGTGGGCATACACCTTTTCTGGGAACAAGGTGTTGACTGGGAGAGTCTGTGTATACGTGAGGACTTGTAACTGTTCATCCACATTATGTTCTTGTTTAACTACACATTAGGTTAAGCTAGTCAGATTCCTAGGGTGTGAGAAATGCATTTAATTAAACCAACTCCAATGATAAAAACAAATCTAAACATTCAGAATTTCTTCCCAAAGGCTGGAAGAGCACTCAAAGCTACAGCCCACACTTCACCCACCCGCCTATTGACAGTCTGCCTGGGGCTTGCCACAAGAGATTGGGAGCAAACTGAAAAACCACAGCTGTGATGGATGTTTAAGTTGAAGGGGTCTACTGGCCTAGAAGTTGGCTTTGGTTTAAGTCACTTCTATAGAGCGAGCTGTTCCCCAGCATTGTCATAACATGCTGAGTCAGGCTGTGTGGGGGATTTGATTGGCTCAGAAGAAGCAGGGGAGAGGTTCTTGGACCCAGCCACATAAGGATCTTGAGCTGCAATAATCACAGACGTTTTCTGCATACCAGCTCTACTAGAGTCCTGAGAGTGCTTGTTGCAGAAAATCTGACTTTCCTTATCTAGAGCTGTGTTCTAAAAAGGAAGGTAAAAGACAAACACAGTTACATCAATGACCCATATTACCTGCCCCATTAAAACACTGCACAACACACACATTTGGGGCATGCATTAGACTCAGAAAAAGGAGAAATAACATCAGAAATCTTAATGAATTGTAGGGTGTTTTGGTGATCAGAGGGATAACTTATTTCCTATACACACCACAGCATCCAGCAGGTCATTAATAAAACCAAGTTTGATGAAGTACTTACAAAGTTTTAACTTTTTTTTTTATTACAAGTCTGATGTGGATAAGCAAGCAGGCATGGTTACACCACCATATGGGGAGTAAGTTCTAAGGATTCATTTTCACCAAAATTCAGAGTGTGACTGTGCTGCCAATATTTTAACAAGGAGCCCACACATTTCATAAGCCTGTGACATAGCCCAGGTAGCCAAAGGAGCTTGCAATGGAGGTTCTCAGGAATTTGTTTTCTGATTTAAACTAGAACACTCTTCCTCTCATGCTTTTATGGGTGTTAAATTTGCATGAAGCTGCATGTTACTGGAAATAGTTGTTGGATAATTAACAACATAGCAGTGGAAGCATGGGGGATTAAGATGCACTAGGGGAATTGTAGAGTATCTGCCCTGAGATTTTTTTTTAAAGTACCTGACACCTCTGCAAGATAAATTAAAACTAACTAAAAGTTTAATTTACAGAAGTATCTTCAAGTTAACTGGAGGGCCTGTCCCTAAGTTAGGTAACCAAAGGGAGCATCTTCAGTTAGGTAACCAAATACTAAGTCAGTATTGAAGCCTATTTGCAACTGGCTGGGGCCCAGCTCAGCAGGTTTAATGATGTTTTTCCTGAGGGAGATTATTCTATACTGCTGATCACTCCAATGACTGGTTCTGAGCAGCATAGAGACCATAAGCATCAATGGATCAAACTTACTAGGTGCTGACTCTCATGCTTGCCCACTTCTTTCCTGCCCTACATTCTGCTATATAGTCCCAAAGCTATAATTGGGTGGCTTGGGGAGTTGTTTGGATAACACTGCTCACAAGCCCTCTTGTGAACTTGTGAAAGTTAGTCCAGAATAAATCAGGAATAGTTACACTTACCTTATTCTGGACTAGCTTTAATGTGTAGACAAGCTCAAAGGCACACACATTTTTCAAAGATAGCCATTTACTTGGAAGCAGTATGGGCCATCTTGCCGCCAACCTTCCCTTTCACAAAATCTGATGTTTTGCAAGGTGAAAAATAACCACTCTGCCTACATTTGCAGAAAAGTTTCAGAGATATAAAAGTCACCAAGTAAAATGGCAAATGTTTATCTGGAACATCACTGAAAGATATTCTTTCACTTTTATGCAGTTCTAAAATTCTGCCCATTTCAGGATAGCTATTATTTCTCCTTTTCTCTTTGTCAAACTCAGAACATGTATTTTGTGCAGCAGAACAAAACATTGTCGTTAGTACATACCATTGCCTTGGACCTACTCAGAGGAAAGCAATGCAGGCATTGGGAAAGGAAGGAAGCAAGGGATAGAAACTACACTTACTTTTAAGCAGAACTATCATCATTGAAACAAATTTAGATTTAAAAATACTGAAATTCTTAAAAAAGGATTTTACAGCAAGACATTCTTAGCAGCAGAAATAGTGCTTTCCCTGTTGAAGGCAGCAGGAACCAGATTTCTTGTGCAGTTCCACTTATCTACCACATGATGGTGTCATCCGTGTTAAATTTGTTAGTCTCTAAGGTGCCACAAGGACTCCTCATTATATCGTATCTGTACTAACTGCGGCTGAACTTCTTCTCAAAAAGTTTTCAAAGAACCTGTATTAGAACTAAGTGGCTACATCATGCTATAGAGGGTTTTCATTGAACAGTTTCCTCACACATAAAAGAAAAAGCGATATGGCTTTGTGATGCTACATTACGTTTAAGGGACTTGATAACACAAACTCTGAACTGTAGATAAACCAGCACAAAGATAAGGCAGAAAAAAGGTTTGGGACTAAATTCTTATAAGGTTCTTTTTTCCACTAAGTATCTTAATAGAAGACTCAGACATTATCCCTAGTCTTCCCTGCATATTCAGTTACAGAACTAGGCAGATATGAATTTTCCTTACTACTTGTTAAAGGAAGATAAACAAAAATAAGTTTTCATTGGCTACATAGGTAACAGAAAAAACCCACACCAAGAAGAAGCCAGATGCTGTACTGTGTCAGAGATTTGAGACAAGCTTAAGTGGCATGCAAATTGGAGAGGGGCTGAGTGTTAGAATTAAAATTGCTCTTATTAAATTTTGTACCAGCTTTCAGCTTCAGGCTTATCCAGTCTCAACTGTATAAAGAATGAAGCTCTGAAGTCCCTCTCAAACTGTCAAGTCAAACTGTCAAATGAAATGTAGAGAACAGCATCAACCTGAAATCAATATTGTCTTCACTCTTGTGAGTATTTTGATGTTACTACAATTCCTACTTTTGAACTTGTCACCTATTCAATTCATATATATGTACATGAACAATGTAAATGGGCAGATTTAAATAATTTTTCCACATGCAGACAACTACAAATTTTATTAAAGTGGGACAGTGACACTACACTTACTAGGCCATCATATATAATTGATACAGTGGGAAAAAAATCATCTCTGGCTACTAACTAAGTCAACTGCAAGTGCTGTGTTGCCAGAGTGGCATATTCAGTATAGCAAGTATATAGCTGTGCAATATAACTTCTTTAAGGTATCTGAAGACAGATTTTGTGCCATAGTATCCAACCCTGGGCTGGGAAAAAGACAACCACTTGCAGGGGTGAGAACTCGTAACTCAGTCTGCATAGTTGTTGGAGCACAGCAGTGATGACTAGTCAGTAACACGTTTACTGGTGAAATGGAGCTGGGCTGAGCTCACCCACACAGCTCACTGTTGTCTGATTTTTTTTTTGGCACAACTTTTGTAAATTCAATTCAGATGAATTTTATAGAGAAGAATCTTAATGCATCCATGTTTCCTACCAAGTCTGGCCTCTGATAACGTTCATTTGCAGAGATTAGATAGGGCCAATCATAACTCTGGGAAACATCCAAAAGATTAAATACACTTTATGATGAGGAAGTGGGTTTTAGATAAAATATTTGCTCCAGAAAATTTAGTCTTGGGGACAAAAGGTGCTACAAGAAAACAACCATTAAAATGAAGTGGAAAAGATTTCAGTGATTTCCAAACTAGCAGGTGAGCTTTAATGAAGTATTTTTTGCATAGAGAGAGAGAGAGAGAGTGTGTGTGTGTGTTTTTAAAAGAAATATCTACAGCTCAGCTAATGCACCTCAATACAGACCTGGCTGCTCCTGAGCAGTGACCCACTCAGATTGAAATGGGGGACATAATACATGATGTATAGACTAGGATTACACACACACACAAACAATACCATACTTGTTTTTGGTAGTGCATTTGTACCACTCTGTTCTTTAAATAATTACTCCCGGGTTAAAACGTGTTAGACAAGTATACAAAGTCATATCTACACATAAAAATGCTGCATTTGCCTACCATGATGACAGAGACCCCAGCGGTTGTATTGTTCTGCTTGGGTAGCATGTTGTTAAAGTGCTGCTTCAGTTTACCTGTTACTTCAGCTTGCATATTATTCTCCTGCAAGGCATCATCCTGTGTAAACACAATACACACACACACTACTCCTCAGGTTTGGGATTAAAAAAAAGAAAGTGTTTGGAAATAGAAAAATTACAAATAAAATCGACAGAAGTGATTTTCCTTCATCCTGGGATAATTGCTGGGCTGCATAGAGAGAGTGTCAACCTTTTTTCTTTTTAAAGTCTTCTGCTGCTGAGAAACAGTTTACATTGAGCTCAAGTGAGCTGCATATGGCAGCAGAAACGTTGGCTTAAAATGTGGTATTTTGTTTTTCAGGTTAAGGGAGGACACTATATTACGAGTGTGCCATGACCTGCTAACAACTCCTGGCATTAAATGTAACATGTATGTTTTTACACAACAGCAACAGCCATTAAAATGCTGATGACCGAAGAGTATTTAAATAAAGCCTAATGATGATCTTTAATTTCCATACATTGTGCATTGACTATTTATATCCATACAATATTTGTTAAGTGGCTAAACAAATGGGGGCAATTATTCACCAGCAATACTTTTTTTTTTCTTTTATAGTTCTCAGAAAACAAGGATTTAATTTGAGTTCTTCTCTTTCGAGGTAAATTGCACCAATTTTGCTTAGTGCTCCAGCCTGAAAGTTCACAGAATGACACACTGTGAAATGTTTCAGAGTAGCAGCCGTGTTAGTCTGTATCAGCAAAAAGAACAGGAGTACTTGTGGCACCTTAGAGATTAACAAATTTACTTGGGCATAAGCTTTCGTAGGGGGAAAATTAGCATGGGGAAATAGTTTTTACTTTGTGTAATGACCCATCCACTCCCAGTCCTTATTGCCAGCAATGCCCCTCTGCCATGTACATTGGCCAAACCGGACAGTGGCTACGCAAAAGAATAAGATAATGGACACAAATCAGACATCAAGAATTAACACATTCAAAAACCAGTCGGAGAACACTTCAACCTCCCTGGTCACTCCATTACAGACCTAAAAGTCGCAATTCTTCAATTCAAAAACAGATTCCGAGAAACTGCAGAACTGGAATTAATTTGCAAACTGGACACACCATTAAATTAGGCTTGAATAAGGACTGGGACTGGATGGGTCATTACACAAAGTAAAAACTATTTCCCCATGCTAATTTTCCCCTACTGTTACTCACACCTTCTTGTCAACTATTTGAAATGGGCCAGCCTGATGATCACTACAAAAGTTTTTTTTCTCCTGCTGATAATAGCCCACCTTACTTGATTAGTCTCGTTAGAGTTGGAATGGCAACACCCATTTTTTCATGTTCTCTGTGTATATACATCTTCCTACTGTATTTTCTACTGCATGCATCCAATTAAGTGGGTTTTAGCCCAGGAAAGCTTATAAATTTGTTAGTCTCTAAGGTGCCACAAGTACTCCTCGTTCTTTACACTATGAAATGAATTTGAAAATAAACGTTTGATTATTACTGTTGGTAGGTGAGATCAGTTTATTATTTATTACTAATCTCCTACATTAGGATCACAAAAGATGGACGCCAGGGAAGTCTCTCCCTATGGACACACAAACAGTGTTAAGTTACATTTTTGAAAATGGGACCCTACATTGTGCCTCTCCATTTTACACACAGATTAACTGTGCATGTAAAGTATGTCACTGACTACATATTATACATCAAAGCAGGTACTGGTGCTGCCATATATGTATTATGTGAGCACCATGTTTTGGGCCAAATTTCAAAAACAGGCACTTGAGTTACCCATAAGGCCCCTCTGCCACAAGCATGCCTGTCTGGAATGGAGGGCATTTTTGGTGCTACAGAGGGGGATCAGAGGAGCTACCCAATGCCTTCTAACCTATTTTCTGTTAGGAAAAAACCCTCACCCTGCTCCACCGGAATATAAAGTTTCCGCCCACCTCCTTATGTAGCAATATAGAATGATAAAATCCTATGCTATTGGGTAAACAGCCAACATATTGGCTATCTACACTAGTTGTGTCTCTAAAGCATCATCATGTTAGCAAAAGAAGTTGTCCAGTTGAATGCTCTCCATCCCTTATTCTTGTGAGCTTTTTTGTAAATTCAGTTTCATTTGCTTCAAAAGACAGCCCACAATAACCTCTGTGCAGTAGAAGGGTAGACTTCAGCGTATAACTGCCCTCTGCGGTGTCATTTATAGGCAGTTCATTCTTTGTTGATGGGGGACATAGAACTCAGCTTTCCCAATTCTGTTTATCAAGCAACTTCTGACAGCACTATTACAGTTAGAGCTTAATATTATATATCTAATTAGGGACAAGTACAATGCAGAGTTTACTCACGGACACCCAGGGATGGCCTAGGATCTGTGCTGCTGTATATCGAGCTTCTACGTTTACCTGTAGCATCAGACTAATTAACTCCTGAAAAACAAAAGAGTGAGAAGAGAGGGAATATTAAAATGTGAAGCAGCTTTTGCATTGAATTCTTCCCAGCATTCAAAGTGGTGTTTTTTCACTACCTGGGTGAAATCCTGGTCCTGCTGAAGTCAATGGCAAAACTCCTATTTGACTCCCAGGGGGACAGGATTTCACCCTCACACTCTAAATTACAGCTGTAATATAAAATGTATTCTTCTGTACATACATGCAGGCAGCATGGACAGAGTAGTCAGAATGGAACTGCATCCTCCCTAAACCCTCTGGGTACAGCACATATGCAGATACCCTCATGCAAAAAGAAAGTCCCATAATGTTTTGTAACCATCAAGTGACAGGGCACATAGTGTTTGAGTAATTTACAGAGAGAGGATAAAGCTGCTGAAGGGGGGGTGAGGAAGATAGCAGAGCAAAAAGCACCTATCAAGAGCACCAGCTTGTACCGAAAGCCAAGTGCATTTATGAGCCTGGAATTTTAAAGCTATTACTAGCAGGGATGATTTAACTGTATAGAGAGTAAACTAATACACAAAGATATTTTTTTTATTTTAAGCGCTATCACTAGAACCATCTGTAAACATTTAAGATGATGATACCATTCCTTTACTGCTGGAAAATGAAAGCTACCCATCAGCACAGAGCACTTAAAAATTCTATTCCAAAGGAATGACTGACAGCACCCAATGTTAGCTAATTTTAATTATCTATACTATGGGCTAGTTTCTTTGCTTTGGTATGGCTACTTTGTGTTGCTCCAGAAGCCCAAAGGGGTCGTTAGCCAGCCTGACCAATCTTGTAAGGATCCCTCCTACCATGAAAAGGGAATCCCCAGACAGAGTTAGGCCAGGAAAAAAGGGGGCATTGTCTAGAGGGCTGATGTGCTTACTTTTCATGGAAGTCACTGGGATTTCACCATACATTTAACTGTAAGTATATGCTTAACTGCTTTGTTGACTCAAGGCCTTTGAAATGCTCAGAGGCTATACAATAGATGGCCTTAGAAGTGCCATAGAAATATGCAGTTAACCTGTTTAGTACTGTCACAAGTGGGTCTGTAGCCATGGTAAATCTTAAGAGCCTAGTCACACAAACAGCAGCCAATGAAGTTATGAACAGTAGGTAACTTTTCATCTCCAACTTTTATCAAATTTATTAATTCAAGTTCCTCCTTTGCAACTGACAACTAACTTACTGGTGCAGATGCAGGTTCCAGACACAAAAACAACACTCATGAAGAAACTAATTAATGTCAAATAATTCCCATCATTAAAACTCAACTGCCCCATTTTTTGGGAAAGTTTCTGTAGCCTCAGGATTGTCTCTTGCTTTATGTACTAATGAAGAACATTCCAATGAGACTTATTCTAGTAGACAGCAACTTCTCTGGAGAAACAATACATGTGTAATTAGGAGGCTTTTGTTCACCCTCCAGTTCTGGAAAATGACTCTCTCAGCAAATTACGCAGCAAGAATACGAGCCAGGGATAGTGGGCTGGGTGCTTCAGGCTAGTCACATTGTACTCAGTTCAAGTTTGGAGCAGGAGGGCCATCTCTGAGGCTGCTTGGTGCTGGTTTGACAGCTGCTCTCTTTTGTGCAAACTGCCAATTGATTTGAGGAAGGAACCATTTTGGCAGCTGAAAACTGGAAACCCCTGGCCACACTTCATATACTAACAGCCAGGAAAGGGGAAGACACGGCTATGAAAACTGTAAGCTGTGTGAATGCGCTCCTAAGCTGGGGCTAGACTTGCTGGCTTTAGGGTTGCTTTGGCTCTCAGAGTAGTGCAAGACAGATTTATCTTAAGGAAGAATTGGGACTATGGTCTTTTATGAGGCTATCATCAATGCCACTCTAGCCAATGGCCATTGAGATCAATGGAGCCAATTTCTTTCTTTCGATAACTGTGATTTTCATCTGCAATGCACCCATGTGCCCCTAGACTCTGGCTGAATCCTATGAACAATCATGTACACATCACTCACAGGACCACTACTATAGCTAGGACCCTAAAAAATTCATGGCCGTGAATATCAAACACATCATGGACCATAAAATCTGTATACCATAGGGTAAAAGCACACAAAAGACCATATTTCATGGGGCCAGACCAGCGTTTCTCAAATTGGGGGTCCTGACTGAAAAGGGAATTGCAGGAGGGTCGGAAGGTTATTTTAAGGGAGTCATGGTATTGCCATCCTTACTTCTGCACTGCCTTCAGAGCTGGGTGGCCAGAGAGCGGCGGCTCGTAGCCAGGTGCCCAGCTCTGAAGGCAGCGTCTCACCAGCAGCAACAAAGAAGTAAGGGTGGAAATACCACACCATGTCATCCTTACTTCTGCACTGCCGCAGGCAACGGCTCTGCCTTCAGAGGCTCACTCTCCAGCTGCCCAGCTCTGAAGGCAGCACCGCCACCAGCACCGCAACCCCCCCTACAATAACCTGACGACCACGCACAACTCCTTTTTGGGTAAGGACCCTTGCAATTACAACACTGTGAAATTTCAGATTTAAATAGCTGAAATAATGAAATTTACGATTTTTAAAATCCTATGACCGTGAAATTGACCAAAATGAACGGTGAATTTGGTAGGGCCCTAAATAGCATTTGGGCCTCTACAGGAGTTAGGGTTAGAATTTCAAACATTGCCTTTAAATGACTGAATCTATGAAATCAAAAGGAAGTGGTATCTTACCAATACTTTACTTAACTGGCAAATCAGCTATTTGCCTCTGAATGAGCTCTAGCCAGCTTAATGCTTCTAGTCCAAAGGTGAAATGGGAACAGGTGAAATGAACAGTGTCCAGTCCATGTAGCAAGCAGCCCTCTCTCAAAAGGGTGATGAGGGGGGAAAATTTGGAGAGATACTTACACTGCAGCTGAAGCACTGAACCTAATATAACCCTCATCATTAAATAAACCAAACTACATGCAATGCTCACTGAATGTAATCAACATTCTGTTACAATCATTCACCCAGAAAGTAGGGTTGAGAGACCTTCATTTTCATCACTGCCATGCTCTGAAGAGTACTAGGGTTTGGAATATAGTCAACAATAGTATAGATTCAGTGTAGCCAGGAAGGCACAATGCTCCCACTGGCTTGTCAAACAATTTCACAGCTTGAAGCCCTGGGTTCCTAACTTATTTCAGTACCTTAGCTGAGTCAGTGATGTTATCCCAGTACGGAGAGGGAAACTCTAGTTTTCCAATGAGGATCTGATCAAAGAGATCTTCCTGAAGATTGTTCTCACTGTGGATGAGTAACAATGGAAGAGAACAAGAGAAAGGGGTAATTTTTGTGTCACAGGCATTAAAGTTACATTTTTGAGGTGGTGAAGAAGCAAAATTCACATCAACTATTACAGAAGTTTGCCCCAGTTTGCCACCTTGTACTCTAGGAGTGTACGTTTGGCAGTATTACACCATAGTTATCCTGTCAGTAGTGGTGAGGATGGGGAGGCAATATACAGGAGAGAGGCCTCAGTCTGTCTCCCATTCAAATAGAGTTTGCATTGATAACATGAGGACAATCATCTGTGCAGTAAGAGACAAGGTACAATCTGCTGCTGGTGCTGGGCAGGAAAAGTAAATCAAGAAGTCTTTTCTTTTGCCTGAGCATCCCCATGGCTCCAGAGGACCAGCCACAATAGGCAAGCGATGTAAGCACACCAGCAGCAATGATGTGATCCTCTCCTGTGAGCCAATCTGACAATTTTTTATTAAATACACAGAGAGGATTAGGAAAACCTGGGATAAATTCAATCCCATGCTGAATTTAACAACCTGTGCCACTGGCATAATCCATAACAATGAAAGAAATAGCCCCTATAATGCCAAAAAGAGGGGTGGGGTGGGGTGGGGCGGGCAGGAACAGAATATACACACACAGCAAATCTGTTGAATAAGATGGGACCAATTTTACAATTGTACTCACTTCTGATTAGTGGTTTAAATCTCTAACAATATTTCTCAGATTCTCTTACATTTGTTCACACCTGATTATTGCAGGCAGAATAATTGTAATTATATGGTACATCTTTGAAGCGCGAGCTAAACATTGCTAATCAGTCAACTGTGTCTGAAAAACAAATTGTAGAACTAAACGGCAACTTCTTTGCCTTTCCACAATTATTTAAAAATAAGCTGGGAGGAACAACATAGCCACAGAGTGGCGAATTTTAACTTTTAGTAAACCTAATCTAAATGTGCCCTCTGTTGTGTAATTGTATCCCATGCCCTTGAAAAAACACAGACAATGATATATAATGGATAACTCTGGTCACCTGATAATAAAAATTAGATACTTCCTGATTTAAAATGTGGTTTCTGATTCCTTCTCTCCCAAAGTTCCAGTTACTTTACTTTATTTTACTCCCATCCCAACAATCACAGAAAAGAAAAGTGTGTTGATATTAAATCAAAGTATGGATATTATATGCTGGACATGCAGTGTAACCATAACAAATTTTTGATTCACTGATTACAAACTCTTTCATATGATGGGCACCAAGTTTGTAATGAGATTGAAAACAATCATCTACAGAGCTCAACTAATAGAAATAATATACTTAAATGAATGTTGCTAACTGGAATCATTTACCTGTGACCACTTCTCCAAGATAAAAACAGTAAGTTGAACTTGCCAGCTGCAAACACTAGAGGGTGTACAATACACGCTCACTGCACTGAGCTCTTGCTGGAGTATAGGATTGGAGGACAAAGGGACAGAGAAAGCTGGCTTCTCACAGTAAGACACCCCTACACACCTGACAGCTGGTCACCCACTCATGTTGTTTGTTTATTTTTTTTAAATAGGCAGGAATGCGCTTCTCTCTCTTGTGCACAGAAAAATACTGAAAAAGTGACAGCTGGCAAAAGGGCAGGGTGATATCTAAACTAGGGGCAGCTTAAGCCAGTTAGAAAAGGAGAAAAAAAATTGGGGAAAATAATAGTTTGGAAACAGCTGGAGCCAACTATTGCTGGGGGGGGCAGGGGGCGCAAGGGGAATCAGATTTCCCCCTTATTTGAACAATTCTTTGGGTAATTAATTCTTTACTATCTTCCCTTTGACCTGGAACTAAACTCACCTGCGAAAAGGTGGGAATCCACAAAGCAGTATGTATGTGATCACACCTGCAGCCCAAATATCCACCTTTAAGCCATATCTGTAAAATAAGAGAACGTGTTACTTGTGCAAGCTTCCAAAATGTGTCACCTCTAGTTAGTTGTTTTTTAAATTAATACATACTGAGAGTCTGCCAAAGGCAGATGTATTAGCATTTCATACAAGTGGAGTTTGTCCTTCAATTAATACCACGGAGTATAACAAGAGGGGCATCTAGTCAATATTTTTCTGGTTGTCCTCCAGAGTATTGAGAGCCCCGAGGATCCCACATTTTCCTTTGTTTTTAGTTCACAATCCCCCAGTCTCCATGGAACAGTCAATAGCTTTCTGGTCTGATTCAGATTCTTTTCAGCACCAGCCCATAATAATCAAAGGAGGATATTGTTGAGAGAGAGGGGGAAATCCTTTCCCTCTCCTGCCACAGTGGACAAACTGCTTCTGCATCATTCCCAGACACTGCCAAACTGGGGAGCAAGCTTCCAAGTCTTGAGTCTCCTGTATGAATGAGTAACACTAGGATGAAGAACTAGGACTTTTCTTTTTAAACATATGAATACAAATACTGTAGGTCAAAACATGTCACATTTTCTCTGATTTTTCTAGCTCTGCAGGTGGATCAAATACCCTTTGACATCTTGGTCTCTCACCGCTCTCAAAAATACTTTTCAACAATTGTGCAATGCAAGAGCAACAGTGCATCAAACAATCTGATATTAGAAAATCCAAATTATTCATGCCAACTATCACCTACTCCCCAACCAAGAGGTCTGTGATTTACTTCCAGAATCTTTGAGACAGAGTCAGAGCCATCTTCCCAATTAAGCAGTTAGCTGCAGCAGCATCTCTTATCTAAGTTACATGTGCACACACAAATATTTTGCAGAGTGGTATCAGAGGAAATATATATGGAAGAGGCTGATATATTGCACTCAGACAAGCAGCTGAAGACCAGTTTAAATGACCCACATCCACAGAGCAGTGAAATCAAATATTTACCAAGGGTCAAAATTTGGCCCTTTTACACACGCACACACACACACAGTAATAAACTTTCTTTTACACACCAACTTAGGAGACAAAACTGCTGTATCCTCACCCTGTCTCTGCAATGATTTCTGGAGCCACATATGTAGGGGTGCCACAGACTGTATACAAGGGTCCTTCAACCACTGTGGCCAATCCAAAGTCCCCTAGCTTCAAGGACTTTGTTCCATCTGAATACTCGCATACCTGGGGTTAGCAAAAACACAACAGGGATTGAAGGATATTTTTCCAGTACATGAGGGAGTAAAACAGCAAAGGCTGAACATGATATAATGTGATGAGAAGAGAGATTCTTAAGCTATCCACTTTGGTTTTGCTCCATGATTCTTGAAGGCTTGGACTTCCAGTGCTGTGATTCATCTTTGTGCTTGAGGAGCTTTAATTCTCTCTTGGAAAGTTCTGATGGGGTTAGACTCAATTTGAGAAAGGAAATAAATCTAAAGGATTTTTAAAATAGATTTTGCTCTGTTTCTTGATAGATCTAGTCCCCACCTACTCCTAAAAATCTAGAACCAATTTCCTATTGCTTTTAGTAATACTATTCACTTATATAGTGCTTTCCATCCTGAGCATGCTATAGAATGATGTATTGCTCATGCTGAAGGACAGGTGTAAAAGATAGGTTCCTGCCTGGAGAAGATTACACTCTAAATGAAGGTTTAAATATTAAATTTTCATAACTCCCTTGCAAGGTGTTTATTGCCAGAGCAATGGTTAGTGTAATGGACAGGACTAGAGTTCTGGAGTTCTTCCTCAGAATACTAGACCACTACGCTCTGCATTTTATAAAATGCCTTTCAAATATCTTCTCTATGGCCTCCCTGCCATCCACATCACCCACTGCATTCAAAATGCAGCTGCTAAAATCTTTGCCTGCTGTTCTGACCATGTTACTGTTAATCTCCCTTCCCCCCCAACACACACTGCCCCCTACTTTTCCAGCACACCATGTTCAAGCTTTTTGTCCTCACATTCAAGGCTCTTGACATCTCTGCTCCTTTCTGTCTACTCAACAGATCTAGTATCTTATCTAGGGTGACCAGACGTCCCGATTTTATCGGGACCATCCCGATATTTCCTTGTTTGTCCCGCGTCCCGACCGACGTGCGGTCGGGACAACCGGAC